GGCCCATGTGCGGTCTACCGTCGGACGCGTCGCAATGGTGGAGTGCTCCGTACTCTAGAGAGCCAGCTCGGAGATCGCCGCCTTTAGGTCCTGTGCGACAGGGCGGAGGCGTCAGCAGCGGATCCGCACAGGTGTGACGCCGGAGCACGAGGGCCCGGAGCCGGCAGCAGTCGCGCGCAGATAGAAGTGGGCTTGGCCAAGCGAGCCGCCGTCGAAGCGATCCTTGCAATAGGCGTGCGTCCGCCGTCGCGGCGAGCTCGGGCAGACAAGGCTTCGGCCCGCTGCCGTCTGCCCTCCAGCATGGCCCAGCAATGGCGTGCTGGAGCGAGAGCGCCAGTGAAGACAATTGCGCCTGGCTACGCAGAGTGCATCGCACGCCTCCCGAACCTCGCTCCACCGTGTCCTGATGGGCGCCAATGCCACTCGCTGCACTCCGCCGCGCCTGCGCACTCACTGTGCTCTCGGGATCAAAGCACAGGCCCAGCTCGAAGGCCTCCTTGGCCTCCTCCCTGCGCCCGAGCTTGTGCAGCGCCTTGCCCTTGCGGAAGTGGCCCTTGCTCCACGGCTTCTTGAGCTGCACGACGGCCTCGGCGTCGGCGAGGGCCTCGAGGAAGGCGTGCGCCTCGAGAAAGGCGGCGGCGCGGTTGGCGAGGCAGAGGGCCAGCTCGTCGCGCGCAATGGCGTTGTTCTCCCACAGCGGGCGCGAGGCGGCGACGTCGATGGCGAGCGTGAAGAGGCGGATGGCCTCGCTGAGATTGCCGGCGGCAAAGGCCGCCACGCCGTCCTCCTTGGCCTTGGCGACGGCCATGCTGCGCTGCGGCGGCACGACGTTGGGCGGCGGCGGAAAGGCGAGCTGCGGCGGCAGCGACGCGAGGGAGCGGATGAGGGCGTTGAGCACGGTGAGGTCGTGCGTCGGCGACACGAGCTGGTTGGAGGCGGCATCGAGCGCCAGCGGCACGCTCTTGAAGCCGGCATCGGCAAAGGCCAGCTGCTCCTCGGTGGGCGCGGGCGGCGCGCCGCCGTGCTCGTGCGCGTGCTGCTGGGGCGGCGGCGCGTGGCCGTGGTCAGGACCGCAGCAGTCGGCGCCCATGCTGTGCGAGGGGTGCGGAGGTGCGTAGGGGGGTGGTGGTGCGAAGAGAGGTGTTGCTTGGCCGCCGTGCGCGCCGTGCCACACAAGGATGCCCAAGCCACGTTGCTGCAACTGCGCGCGCCGGCGCCGACCCCTTCCCGAGGCGCGGTGTCTCAACGCCGCGTGGGAACAGACGCGAGAGCTGAGGCGCGCCAGCCTCCGCATGCCTTGCTGCCCTCCCCGCTGCATCTGGTGCCGCCGGGGCATTGATACTAGGCAGATGGGCACACTTTCTCACGCATGCCGGCGCTGTCATACCAGCAGAGTCGCCGACAGAGAAGCAGGCAATCGGCGATGGCGAGGCAGTTGCGCGGCCCCGGCATCGCCAGCCGGAGCCGGCTGGAGCACCATCCGAGCGGCCGGCAAAGAGAGACGCTGACGCGCCCTCGCCCGCGTAATCAGGGCGGCCGCGGTTGTATTCCCGATGGCAGCTGAGTTGTAGTTGCGCCGCCCCCCGCATCTCCGGCCCAGCGGCGTGCCGAGGCCGTTGCGTGCGTCGGGCCGGAGTTGACGCTGGGCCTCTCCTCGATCCTCGCACTGACTGCGCTCTGCCTCTCACCACCACCACACACACCCACACCCACACCCACACCCGCCATGCCTCTCACCACGCCCCTCACACAGCAGCTCGGCCTTGTGCACCCGCTCATCCAGGGCGGCATGCAGTGGGTCGGCGTCGCCGAGCTCGTCGCCGCCGTCAGCAATGCGGGCGCCCTCGGCATCCTCACTGCCCTCACGCAGCCCAATCCCGCCGCACTGCGCGACGAGATTCGGCGCACGCGCAAGATGCTGCGCCCCGACGTCGCCAAGCGCTGCAAGCTCGGGCCCTTTGGCGTCAACGTGACGCTGCTGCGTAAGTGGAGTGCCCTGAACGCGGAGGCGGAGCTGGAGGCCGTGTCGCGCGCGAGGCAGCACGCGATGCTGTGCGACGTCAGCGATCGCTGCTCGGCGAGGACAGAGCACGTCTCTCTCGCGCAGACGTCACACCTCCCGAGCCTGCTGCTCTCCTGCGAGCCTCCGGCTGACACCCTGGCCAGCGTCCATCTCGCCGCCCGACTACCCCGGCTACGTGCAGGCGGCGCTCGACGAGGGCGTGCGCATCTTCGAGACGGCCGGCAACAACCCCGGCCCCGTCATCAAGCAGATCAAGGATGCCGGCGGCTTTGTGATCCACAAGTGAGCGGCAGCCGCGCCCTGGGCCCTGCCTCAGCGTGCAAGTTTGTGCTCATCTCCTCGTTGTGTGCACCAGGTGCACGAGCGTGCGCCACGCTCTCAGCGCGCAGAAGCTCGGCGTCGACATGCTCTCCATCGACGGCTTCGAGTGCGCCGGCCGTGAGTCAGCGTCCGAACCGCGCGCTGCCGCGCCGCTCGCGCTGACCCAGCCCGTGTCAGACCCCGGCGAGGACGACATCGGCGGTCTCGTGCTGATGGCCCGCGCATACGAGGAGGTGAGCGCAGCGGCCGAAGCGCCGAGAACGCAACCAGCTGATACTAGTCGCAGCTCAAGGTCCCCTTTGTCGCGTCCGGCGGCATCGGTAACGGCCAGGGTCTTGCTGCGGCTCTGGCGCTCGGCGCAGTCGTGAGTGGGCCGGCGCTGCACTGGCTCGCGCGCCTCTGACGTGCTATACGCAGGGCGCCAACATGGGCACGCGCTTCATGTGCACCAAGGAGTCGACGATCCACGAGAACATCAAGCGCGTCATCGTCGACTCGGACGAGCGTGCGACAACGCACAGTGAGCCCTAGTCGCCGCGCGCAGGCTCGTGCAGAGCCTGACCCTTTGCTCGAACCAGTCCTGCGCTCGCTGCGCAACAGCGCCCGCATGCACAAGAACAAGATTAGCATTGAGGTGCTCGAGTGAGTGTCCATCGGCGCGCTCTGCGGCGCTGCCAGCCAGCTGACCGCCCCGACCCAGGCTCGAGAAGCAGGGCGCCAAGTTCGAGCAGATCCAGCCGCTCGTGTCTGGTGCGTCAACATCGCAGCACTGGTGTCGCCCTGCTCCTGCTGACGCTCCCGCGCTCGCGCAGGCCAACGAGGCAAGACGGTCTACACGACTGGGTAAGCGCGCTGCAAGCAGCGTCGGCGCGCGTCGTTGCTCACACCCTCGGTCCCAGCGACCCCGACGCCGGCGTGTGGACGCTGGGCATCGTGTGCGGCCTGATCCACGACATTCCGTCGTGCAAGGATCTGTGCGAGAAGATGAGCGCCGACGCAGGTGAGTGGCCTCGATGCAGAGCGCCCAATCGCGGCCCACCACTGACGACGCACGCGCCCATGCAGAGGCACACATCAACCGTCTAGCCTCGCTCACCGTGCGTGCACGCCTCGCTGAGCCGCTGTGCGGCGGCCATGCTGACTCTCCACTCGCAGGGTGGCGCCCAGTCGGCCTCTTCCTCGCGCCAGTCGCACCTCTGAGTGCAGCTACTTCGATGCCGGCGCTTCGTTGCAGGGGTCTAATGATTGATATTTCACGAGGCTGACGCGCTCGGCGGGCTGCTTGTCATTCCTCTGCGTCCACGAGCAAGGCGCGGGCAAGTGCAGACGTGGGCCGAGCGCTGGCGGAGAGAGCGAGGGCTGCCTCGCAGAAGGCCAGGATGCGCTCGTCGAACGCATCGACGCTCGTGTCCAAGCCCAATCGAGCTCGCAGGCCACCTTGCGCAGGCGGACGTGCAGGAAAGGGCATGCGCTGAAGCGTGGGACAGAAGTCGACGGCTTCCTGTAGTGCACACGAGGGCCGAGCAAATCAGCGACGGCTGCGGCCTCGACAGAAGCTTGCAACCCTGCAGCCAGCTATTACTCACAGGCCAAGCACTGTCGTCGCTGGGACGGCCTAGCAGCTCAAAGATGCTCCCGGCGAGCGCAATGTCTCCACGCTCGTCGAACAGCGTCGTCCGCACGTAGCCCGTGTCGCTCACAACCATCTCGTCGTCGTCTGCGTCGTCGTCTTCGTCGTCGTCGACCTGCCAGTCCACGCTCTCAGACTGCCGCTGCGGCTGTCGCTCAAGCCTGGCCCAAGCTTCTTCGCTCGCCAGCGCTTGCTCCCATGGCGGCGGCGCCGCCGCCGTCTGCACGCGTGGCGTCGTCTGGCGCATGGGAGTCCAGAACTCCGCCAGAACAGTGCCGGCTGACCACACGTCGGCGGCAAGCCCGTCGTAGCCACTGCTGGGTGCGAAGAGCAGCTCCGGCGCGCGGTATGCCCGCGTGCCGACGTCCATGGTGTGCGAGCGCGCGCTGCTGCGACACGCAGTGCCCAGATCTGCCAGGCGTGGCTCTCCATTTGCGCTGAGTAGGATGTTGGAGGGCTTGATGTCGCGGTGCGCTATTCCGAGAGCATGCAGGTGCGCCAGGCCGGCGAGCAGGCCTGCGGCCACGCCATGCCGGAAGCGCGCCGTGTGGCAGTCGGCGCACAGCGCTGCCGGCCCGAAGTCGCGGCCCATGGAGCCTTGCCAATCTGCCGGCAGACCTTGTGGTGGGATGCGGAGAGCGTCGGCTAGCGTGAGAGGGTAGAGCGGCTCGACGAGATAGATCCAGCTGCACCATGGATCTGACGTGTCCACAAAAGCACCGAGTAAAGGCACGACCTGGAGTGTGGTGCGGGACACGTCAGCTCGCATCCACTCGGATGGCCCCCCCCTGGCTGCAGACTGCCCCGACAGCGGGAGCAAGACTCACATTCGCCGCGCCGTGCGAGTGCTCCAGCAGCTGCGCCTCTCGCACGACGTCGTGCGGCGCCGCCTCGTCCTCGCGCGCCACGCGCTTGAGCGCGAGCCAGCGCGCGAGCCCGCCGGCGGCTGCGGCGGCGGGCAGCGCGGCGGGCAGCGGCGCACGCAGGATGCTCGACGTGAGGCCGTCGGCGTGCGGCTCGGCGTCGCACAGCAGCTGGGCCAGCGTGAAGGGCAGCGACGAGGGGCCCGGCAGATCAAGCAGCGAGAGACGTGCGCGAGCCATGGCTGTCACACGTATGGGCCGCTCGCTCGGCAAGCAAGCGACGCGAGTCACGAATGCGTCAAGCGCGCTTGCGAAGAGAGAAGAGGGTATGCATGTGCAGGAGGATGAGCAGAGCGGGCGGCCTTTGGCGTGGGCAAGGCAGATGAATGAGGGCGCGCGTGGTTGGGAAGGAAGCCCTGGCAACGCGAAGGCAGCGGCGCCGCGCCGTCACGGCCGGCCGGCGACGCGGCGTGCAAGCTGCGCTCCCTCCACCACCAGACCCCCTCATCTCGGCGCCGCGCCCGCTCGACTTCAGCCTGCCGCACAGCTGCCCCACACATCTGCTCCGCATGGCCTCTCCGCCGCCGCCCTGGGCCAACTCGCAGCCGCTGGTGGAGCCATACGCCGCGGCCGCCGCGCCATGGCTCACCCACGGCACGCCGGCGCCGGGCAGCAGTCCAGCACCGACGTCCGACATGCCGCCGCCGTCGGCGGCGCCCTCGCCGCAGGTGGCCTCTGCCGCGTCGGACGGCAAGCCGAAGAAGCCGCGCAAGCCGCGCCCCAAGAAGGACCCCGCTGCGGGCGCGGGTGCGGGTGCGAATGCGCGCGCAGGCAGTAGCACGGCTACGCCGGCGCCGGGCGCGCTGGCAGATGCCGCTGCCGCTGCGGGCGACGAGGGCGCGTCCGGCGGGCGCAAGCCCAAGAAGAAGGCGACGAAGAAGGCGGCCAGCCGCGCAGGCAGCGTCTCGACTCGCGCAGGCAGCGTGGCGCGCGCGACGCCGGCAGCGGCGGTGGGAGAGGGCGATGCAAGGCACGAGGGCGAGGGCACGCCTGCGCCGCCGACGACGGCGGCGGGACAGCAGCTCGAGGCGGAGCAAAGGCAGCGGCAGCAGCGCGGCACGGTCGAGGAAAGCAGCGACGACGAGGAGGAGGACGAGGAGGACGAGGGCGCACTGGATGCGCAGGACCTCGAGAGCATCGAGCGCAGCCACGAGCGCAAGAAGGGCGAGATTGGGTGAGTGTGTCGAGCTGCTCGGATCACATCCGCTTGCCTTGCGCACAGCATGCGGTGAAAGCAACGCAACGATACAGCTGCTGTGCGCTCGGCCATGGCCACGCTGCTGCCTGAGCCGCTGCTTGCGTGCGAGCTGGCTGCCCTCGCGCACCCGCGCTGACGCCATGCTCTCAGCGCTCTCATGCAGCTCATGTCGCCGGCGCAGTACGACCGGCACGAGGCGTTCCAGCGCACTGGTCTGAGCAAGCCAGATGTGCGGCGAGTGAGTGGCCAGGCCCGTGGGCAGCCTGCGCTCGCGGCTGACGCGCTCGTGCAAAGCTCGTCAACCACGTCCTGTCCCAGTCCATCACGCCCCAGCTCTCTACGCTCTTCGCCGCAGCAGGCAAGGTCTTCATCGGCGAGATGGTCGAGGAGGGTGAGTCGAGCATCACTGATCAGCTGTCCCGCCCGTGCTCTGCTCCCATGCTAAACGCCCGTCCCAGCTCGCCGTGTAGCCGCGGCGCAGGGACACGTGGGTGCACTGCAGCCCTCGCATCTGGCAGCTGCCTTTGCGGCGCACAAGGAGCGCCTGGAGCGCCCCGGCGCACAGGCTCCGGGCGCCGTGGCCAAGGGCGGCGCGCCGGGCACTGGCAAGCGACGACGCATGTTCTGAGCCAGCGCGCACGAGACACGGCCGACCAATGATATCCCTTCTGCATCGTGTAATTAGGCGAGCGCGTCGGGCCCGGCTTCCCGCATGGCTGCGACGCGGCGGGCGTATGCGTTGGAGACGAGGTTGAATGCTGTGGGGCGCGCAGTCAGCAAGCCGACCGCGAGGCAGGAAGCGGCCCGGCGCGTGACGGGCGCAGCGCTCGCCCGCCTGGCCTCGGGGCGCAACTCACCCTCGAAGTAGCGCTCGACGCAGCGCTCCGTGCACGCCTGCTCCTTGGACGAGAGGCTGGTGCCGGGCGCGGGCACGCACTTGGCAAAGCACTTCTCCGTGGCCTGGCACGCGCACACGCACGCAAGGAATTCGGAGACGGAGCGCGCAGCAGTGAGTGATCTGGTCTGGGCGAGGCACGGATCGACGAGCGCAGCAGCATGCCTTGTTGCGTGCGCTCCCGCTCGCTTGCCACGCTCACCTTGGTGAAGAGGGCCTGCGCACTGCTCTGCGCCAGCTCCTGCGACGTCTGTGCCTTGAAGGCCTCCTTGAGCTCGGCGGACGAGGCGCCCTTCTTGCCGGTGAGAGACGAGAGATCCATGGTCGAGTGAAAGAGGCAGCGAGGTAGAGGTGAAGAAGAGAGAGGCGCAGGTCGCTGGTGGTGGCATGGCTGAAGCGAGCGGCTGCGCGACGGCCTGCTGACTAAGCGATGCGTGCGCGGCGCCGCCTCCACTCGGGCAGGTGCAGGTGAGCGCGTGTCGGAGCCAAGCTTCGCGCCCGCCTCTCGCAGAGCAGCAGCGCACCTTGCTGCCTTGCGACCTGCCACTCCCTCTTGCGTGCCACCACATCGTCGCCGATCTACTGCCGCGACCTTCTCGTCTCACGCTGACTCTTCGCCAGCTCGTCCGAGGCCTAGGCGCTCTGCTGCCCCCTCGCTCCCCTCGCCCAAACACTGCCATGGGCGCAGCCAAGGAGCGCCCGTCGCCCGAAGAGATCGAGCGCCTGCGTGCCGAACGCGCCGCCAAGAAGGAGCGCGTGGCGGCGGAGAAGGAGGCGCAGGCCAATGCGCCTCTCGCGCAGGCGGACAGCTCGCTGTACGTGCCGCGAGAGTGGGCCAGGGTGCGGGCAGAGGCGTCGAGCAGTGCGAGCAGCAGCGGCAGTGGCGTCCGAGTCGGCAGCTGGAAGTGAGTGACGCTGCGGCTCTTGCACCGAGGCAGCGCTGATTGCATGTCTTGCAGCCTGCTGGCGCAAGGACTGGTGCGCCGCAAGCTCTTTCCCGGCTCCGACTGCCTCAAGTGGAAGGACCGCGAGGCGGGTCTGCGCGCCGAGCTGGTCGGGCACGCCTTTGACATCGCCTGCTTCCAAGAGGTGGACCGGCTCGACTCGCACGGGCCCAATCTGGAGAAGGCCGGCTTCAAGTTCGTGTACGAAAAAGGCTATGCTGCCAAGCAGCACGGACTCCGTGAGTCCTCGAAGGCAATGCGGTCGCTGGACACTCGCTAAGCTCTGCACCTCCAGTCATCGGATGGCGCACAAAACCACGCAGCGCAGCATCGCCGTACTTTGCGCAAGAGCCGCTGGCGCAAAAGCTCATCTTCTTCGACGACCTGAGCCCCCGCACTCTGGCGCCCGTCAAGGAGGCGGAGCGCAGCGGCTGCAGCAGGGTGACGCGCAACGTGGCGCTGCTGGTGGCGCTGCCCTTTGCGGGGCGGCCCGGCGGCCTCGTCGTCGGCACGACGCATCTCTTTTGGCATCCCCAGCACGCCTACGAACGAGTACGTCAGGCAGGTCTGCTCATGCGTGCGGCAGATGCGTTCCGGGCAGAGCGGAGCGAGACGGCAGGCTGGGACGTGGTCGTCGCTGGAGGTGAGTTGCGCTTCGTGGGACGCCGGAATCACGCCAGTTGACGCGCCTTCGCAGACTTCAACGACCAACCTCACAGCGCCACGTACCAGCTCTTGCGCGACGGCACGCTGGATGCACATGCTCGCGAGGAGATCTTGCGGTCCAGCGTGATGCACCGGAGCATCGACGAGGCCCGCGCCCGCGCCCAGGCTGGCATCGAAGGCGAGGATGATGTCGAGGAGGAGGGCGATGATGAGCCAGAGGAGAACGGAGCAGCAGCAGGACAAGCAGAGGAGAAGAAGCCGGCCGCGCCAGAGGCGGACTCTGACCACATGCTCAAGACCTGCCGCGCCGCCTCTGCCGACGATGGCCTGCTGTCGATTGACGAGCTCGTGCAGCTGCACAAGCTTGACATTGGCAAAGCAGTCAGTGCGTACGGCAGCTACTACTCGCATCTTGAAGGCGAGAGTGAAGAGGGCAACTACTTCGGCGTGAGTCTGCCCGATTGGTGCGCAGACAGGCACGGCTGACACCTGACTCAGTCGAGCGCGCGCGGCCGCGAGCGCTTCGACGACGAGTCGTACATCGAGGGCCAGGCAAACGTGCACAGCGGCCCCTCGACCGAGCCGATGTGGACGCTTTACTCCAGCATCTTCTCCCTGACGCTGGACTACATCTGGCTGCTGCCGCGACGACACACGGCATCCGATTCGTATCCGCCCGTCACTGCCCTGCTGCGCACACACAAGACGGAGACGCTGCAGCCCGGCGTGCCGCGCAAGGGCGTCTGCGCCAGCGACCACGTGGCGATCGGCGCCGAGATCGTGCCGCATTCGGAATAGAGGTATGATTGCAGAGAACAGCAGCGTGTGCATCAGTGGTAGCCCAGCCCGCCCGCCTTGCGCCGCCGCGCCATCTCCCAGCGTTCCAGCTCGCGGTCCTCGTCTGCGCGCTGCTCGCGCGCCACGCGGTCGAGTTCGGCGCGGTGGCGCGCCTCCTTGGCCTCGTCTCGCACGCGCTCCACGTCCTCCGACGTCCAGTACGTGGGAGCCGGGCTGGCGCCGCGCGGCAAGGCGTCTCCTGCCGCGGCACCGCCTTCCTGTCGCGAGAAGGACACGCTGCCCGTCAGCGAGTGCGAGTCGATGTCGGACGAGGGGCGCATGTGATGCTCGTACGCGCTCGCCGGCGAGACACTGCGCTTCATGTCCGGCACGGCCGTCGATGCGCCGAACTTCTCGGCCTGGTTGAGCCAGAATGGCGATGCCGAGGCGGCCTGAAGGTGGGCTTGGGGCAGCGCCGGGTTCGGAGGGTAGACATACGCCGCTGTCGCGGGGTCTTGTGCGAGCCAGTAGTGTCCCTGCCCAGGGACAGCGTGCACCGGCGGCAGCGCAGCGAGCGTCGCAGGTGCCTTGGCATCAGCAGCTCCGCCTTTGATGTGCTCCATTGCCGCCTGCAGCGTGCCTCGGCCCCACTGGGCCTCGACGTCGGCCCGTGCCTGCGAGACGGCGTCGGCGCGGCGCAGACGCTTGCGCTCGAGCCAGGCTGCCGCAGCCAGGAGGCCCAGCACGGCCCACATCAGGCCAAACGCCTTGCCAAGGCTTGCCTCGAGCGTGAGTGCATCCTCGGCGCCGTTGCGCATCGCGCTGAGCGGCAGCGCACGCGTGGCGTTGGCGGCGTTGAAGGCCGTGCAGGCGCTGGCGCTGGTGATGCGCATGCCGATGCCTGTGGCGGCCAAGAGCACCCAGCCGACGAGCGTGGCGAGATGGATCCAGTGCTGCGCGCTGCGCAGGTTGCGCTCCGTCGGGCCGGCCTCGAGCAGCGAGCCGAACTTGCGCGGCGAGGCGAGGGCCAGGATGCTCGGCACACCCAGCGCCACCGAGAGCAGCAGGGTGACGACGACGACGAGCAAGAGAATTGGCGTAGTGGGCAGACGCTCCGGTAGGCCGATGGTGCTGAAGCTGCCGCTCTCCTCGGTGGCCAGCACGGAGGAGTCGTAGCGCGGCGAGAGACGGGCCGAGGTGCAGGTGCGCTGTCCCGATGCCGACGTGCCGCAGGAGCCGAGCGGGCCGAAAATGAGGCGCACTTGCGAGGACGCAGATGATGACGCAGCAACTGTGCCGTTGACGCCGAGCCCGCTTGTCTTCGTCTTGTTGAGGTCTTCACGCGCGAAAAGCTGGACAGATCGCCGCCGGAGCGCCAGCGCTACCGCCGTGGAGACGGGCGGCGCGACCGAGACTGACGACGAGGCCGTCGCTGCAGGTGCCGGCGAAGGCGTCGGCGATGCCGCGCCGGTGCCGGGTAGTGTCGCGACGCTGCTGTTCCTCGGCGTTGAGAGCGGCGACAGGCTGACAGAGCTGGAGTTCGCCGAGCTGCTCAGCGGTAGCGACGCCGAAGACGAGCTCGGCGTGCCAAAGACGAGGCTCGTGCTGCTGGCGTTGCCGCTCGCATCGGTGTTGTTGACGGTGGCGGGCGCGACGGTGAGGAGCGAAATGTCGCTGCCACTCAGCGGCGCTGGGCTGACGAGCACGAGGAGCAGGATGATGAGCGAGGCGGCTTGCAGTAGCCAGGGCAGGACGGTGCCGAGCGGAGGAGCCCGGACTCCAGTCGAGGGAGCAGCGGACATGGTGGCGCGCTGAGAAGACTCGGCCGGCGAGTTGCGAAGAGGTCAAGACACTTGACGAGAGAGGATACGAGAGGAGCGGTAGAGAGCAAGAGACGAGTCGGGCGAGCGAGAGCGGGTAGAGTATCGGGGAGGGAGACAAGTCAGCGAGCGCTTGGGGTGCGGGGCGCCGTGGCGAGGGCGCTGCTTTTGAGCGGCCGCGGGCAAGTGCGAAGGCTGCCTCTCGGACAAAGCAGCGGAGGCAGTGCATCGGCGTCGAGTGTCCCACATGGCGGAGAGCGGCGAGGCAGATCGACGGACGAGGACAAGGGAGCGCGCGGCATGCCCAAGGGTGCCGGCTGCAGTGCTTGTGCATTCCCTTGTCCTCGCCGCAGCAGACGGCGCGGCCGTCGGCCCCTAGCCGCGGCCGGCGCGGCGCGAGCACAAAGGCAGACGGCAGCTTGCTCGGCAGCCCATCGGTCCTGCCGCTCGATGGGCTGATCTGAGCACTTGTGGGCTCCGACCCCGACGGCAGCGTCGACGTGGATGTCGTTCGCGGTCAAGCGTCGCAGCGTATGCTCGATGCTGCTCTCTGTAGCCGCGGCCGCGCGCGAGAAAGGCGAGGCGGCCGCCGCGGGGAGCGGCTGCAGGCGCGCCTTGAGCGCTCGCACCGCCCACCGCGCCCGTTCCTTTCTCTCCCACCTCCGCCCGCACGCAAGACGCAATCGGCCTTGCCGCAGCAGCCGCAGCATGATGCTGGCAGCGAAGCTGCCGGACCTCCTCTGCAGTCGTGGATGACAAACAACAACTCGGGCCCTCTCTCGCACGGCACTCCTGCCTGTCTGCGATGCACGCGAACCTTCTCTCGAGCCGGCAGGGGCACAGCACGGCGTCGGGGGCCAATTGGCGCCCTGATTGCACGAGGGTAAAGGGGCATTGCGGCTGCGCCCCTGGCGCCGATTCCTCTTCAGCAGAGCTTGCTCAACCCAGCACTCGAGTCGTCTGACTGCGCACAGCGGGATACCCGCTCGCCATCGACTCGTCGGCATGGCGAGCTCATGAGGCGCTTGGGCTTGAGGGAGTGACTCCAGCTTGCGGCGCGGCGATGGACGCAGCTCTCTTCGAGCCAGGCTCTTCGCTATCAGGGCGCATGGTGCGCAGCACAGCAGACGGAGCGCAGCCGCGGCCGGCGAGCCGTGGCACGATTCAGCCACACGAGAGGCACCTGACCTTCATTGACCTCGGCAACTCAGCTTCGTCCGGACCGTCTCTGCGCTGACGCTGGCGCAACGTGCAAAGACGAAGAGAGCGGCTCGGCTGCCGCAATGTGCACGTTCGAGCCAGCTACGCTCACCACTCCTCGCTCTGGTCCGCCTCGACGTCATCCCCCGCGCTGTCCCTGCTCCGAGCGCGCAACCCAGGCGCCCGCGTCTCTTTCCCTGCTGCACAGCCTCACACGATCTGGTCACGGCGCTCCCACGACGTCCGAAGGCGCAGGCAGACGCACCTTCGCGGCGGGTCGTGCGGCCGCAGCATGGCAAGTCGACGCTCTTCGCGCGGCGACGCGTCCGACACGGGCGTCGCCGGCAGCGCAGCCGCCCGCCTCGTCCTGGCCTTCGAGCTGCGGCAGAAGGACCTCTCGGCCGTCGTGATTGCCGATGCGAGCCCTGAGGCAATCTACGCCGATCGAGTGACGTTCGACGAGGACTTTCCCGAGCATCTGTGAGAGGTGCGCGCGTTCCGGTGCGCCAGACTCGCGGCTAATGCGCTCTCCAGCACCAAGAACGGTGTCTACTCGGCACCGAGAACGGAGGAGCATGGACCCAGCTCGCTCATGCCCGTCGAGATGATCGTCAAGGCGCTCGATCTGCTCCTGGACCGGCTGCACAGCGCGCCGCACATCCGCCTCTCGCAGGTGAGAGCTATTGGGATCGCCGCCGTGGTGAGTGCCAAAGAACGTCAGGACCAGTGCTGCGCCTTCGCTCAAGCTGGCGCAGTCACCGTTGGCAGTGTTCCTGGCGCCGCAAGCCGCTGCTCTCCTGTCCTCGCTGCACCCCTCACGGCGCATTCACAAGCAGCTCGGCCACGACTTCTTCTCCGTGCCGTTCTCCTCGACGCCGCAGGACGAGAGCACCACGTCGGAGCTGCTCGCGATCGAGCGCGCACTCGAAACGGCTTGTCTGCCTCGCGAAAGCAACAGCGCGAGCGAACAAGCCTCTGGCTTCTCCTTCCACCTCGGCACGCCAGGCACCGATCTCGTCACAAAGGCCAAGCTGCGAGAGCGCCGCAAGCTGCTGCACGCGGAGCTGGCGAGCAGGCTCGGCGCGGTGCCGGATCTCGCCGGCTTTCCAGCCCAGCTTCTGAAGGTCCGTCGCGGACGTGCGGTCGGCTTCGTCGGCGAGCCGGGCAAAGCGCCTGCCGCATGGTCGAACACGGCGCACATCACGACCGCTGGCGGTCTGCTGCGCGCTCTGTTGGTCGGCCGCTTTGAGAGGTGAGCAGGCCCTGGCTTCCGTCTTGCGAGAGACTCTGATACCGCTCGCAGTCTCGCACCGTGCGATGCCGCAGCCACGGGCATTTACAACCCGCACGAGGCCAGCTGGGACGCGATGCTTCTCGGCATTGTGTCGGGCGATCAGGAGTCGGCACTGCGACGGATGCTCGCGACTGTCCACGCCATTGACGCGCCGGGAGAAGTGCACGCCAGCTCTTGGCTGGTGCGGCGCTACGGCTTTGCTGAAGGTGAGCCGGCTGCCGGATAGCGGGGAAAGGTCTGAGCTGACTCGCGGCGCTTCAGACTGCATCGTCGCACCCGCTCTTCCACTTGACGTTGCGGCCTTCATCGGTCTCTCGCCGCGTCCCACGTGAGCGCGGCCTGGCTCCGCTTGCTCGAAGCTGTTGCTGAAACTTCACAGGGACGTTGGCGTCTCGTTTGGCGAGACTGACGTGCTCGCCCTGCCGGTGCGATCCTTCATCGCCGATGCCCAGCACCAGCTCTTGCCGAACCCGCTCGCCGCTCAAGATGCGGCCATGCCGAGATGGCTGGCGATCGTGCGTTGGCCCGGCGGAGGCGTGGCACGCCAGATCATTCGCGACGTCTACACCAACGGACGCTGGTCCACCTTTCGGCAGGTGAGTCCACCGAGGGGATGTACAGACACTTGACTGACCCTTCGGATCGCAGCTGGTCAACGCAGTCAGCGTTGGAGGCCAAGTGTCGCTCGACGACAAGCGCTACGCTCTCTTCGACGGCGCGGCGAAGGCATTCTACAAGTTCGAGCACGGAGCTCGCGTGGCGGAACTGACAGACGTCCGCGCGAACGCCCGCTGCGTCGTCGAGGGACAGGTCCTGGCCATGCGAGCGGCCGCATCGCGCCTGGCCCACGCAGACGCCGAGCCTTCTGGCCGTCAGTACGGTGGCACGGCGGGCGCTCTGAGCTTCGATGCGCACGAGTGGAGCCACTTGCCGCAGCGATGGCTCGCCTGGGGCAAGGCGAGCGCCAACGAGGCCATCGCCGAGCTCTTCAGCCTGACGCTTGGTGCACCGCTTCTCTGCCACGAGGCAGACGTGTTCGCGGCACGATCTGCCGCCGACGGCATCGTCGAAGCGCAACAGCCCACACGCGGCTCCCGGCCCGCATCGGCAGCCTCCTCCGCAGCGACGTCACTCAACGCAAGCATTGCGAGCGCTTCGCGAGCATGCGTCGGAGCAGCGCTATTTGCGCGCTCACAGCTCCCTAAGCTCGCCAGCGACCCGGTTACGGTCGAGCAGCCTGCATCACTTGCTCAGGTGTCTCATTGCACTCGCACCCCATCGACGCGCCGTCACCGTGCTCTGACCGCTCTGCAAGAGCGCGTAGAGGAATGCGCTTCGTCCGACTCGCTCCGCGTGCCGCCGCAGCGCTGGGGTGCGGAAGGGCGACAGCGCGCGGCAACCATCTCCAACGCCGGCGCGACGGCTTCGACGCGGGGCAGCATTCCGATCGACGAAGCGCAGTCCAGCGGCAGCGGCTATTCAACGCCGTACACTGGCAGCGCCGACATGGCTGCCGCAGGCATGGGTGACATGAGGATGCGCGCGGATGCAGCGCTCGGTCTTGTCCAGGTGGCTACGCCTGATCGCGACTTCTTTCACGTAAGTCCGATGCCGACGACGCCGAGGCCTGCGCTGATGCTCGGTCCCTGCAGGTCTACGGCAGCCTGCTGCCCGAGCATGCGCGGCCTTGCGCACGCATTGACGCCGAGCGCGCCGTCTGAAGGGGTCGGACACGCCTTTAGGCTGCCCGCTCCTTCAGGTCGCTGCGCTGCTGGACCACATCTGCAACCTCGCCCATGCCAATCGCACGCAGTCCCTCGACGACGCCGGCGCGGTCGCCGAGCGGCATCTCCTGGTTCATCTTGAACTTGCCCTGCAACGCCTCGACTCGGATCCGGACGCCGATGATCGCCTTGCACAGTGCACGAATGTACTCTTCCGGCGCCTCGTCGACCGTCCAGGCGGGCTTGCCGTCGCGGCTCGCCTGCGTCGCCTCGTGCTTGTCTGTCAGCGCAGCCGTCTGACGGAGGAGATACGCTGGGCTCTCGTCGAGCTCCAGCGTGCCAGAGACCTGCGCCGCCGCGTAGTTCCACGTCGGCACCACCTTGCCCGAGGCTGGCTTCGTCGTTGTGTAGTACTTGGGCGTGATGTACGACTCGGCGGCGTGCGTGAAGAGGACGCTGACCTGGCGAGCCGGCACGCTGCCGCCCTGTGCACGCGCGGCGAGCAGAGCCTTGACGTGCGGATTGGCTCGCGCCATGTGGCCCTCGAGCCAGTACTGCGGCGCTGCATCTGCGCCTGCATTGGGCGAGTCAGCCTGCTGCAGCAGCCAGGGCACGTGGGTGTGCTGCAGCAGGTCGTGGTCGGGCAGGTCGATGGCCGTGGTCAGGACGCCGAGCGGGAAGTCGCGGATGAGCTGCCGAAGCGCCTCCTCATCGCGCTCGACGTGCACTGCGCGGAGGTACATGGCGATCTGTAGTGGTGTTGGTGGTGCCGGAGGAAGGTGCGGCGCTGCATGGGGCGGAGCATGAGGGGCGCGCGCGAGTCATTCGCGCCGCGCCGCAGCGGGCAGAAACGCGGCCCTTTGCACGGCGGCAGCACGGCGCTTAGGCCGGCCAGACAGCGGTGCGAAGCTCGGCCAGTTGCCTCGAGCGGCTGCCCTCATAAGGCCGCCCTTTGCCAGCAACCCGGCGGCACAGCATCACCCGCCCTATCCCGCCATGCGTCTCCTCATCGATTCCAGCGTCTCGCAGCTCTCGCCATACTTTGCATGCGCCGTCGTGCGTGTGTGTCTCAAGGCCGAGGCGCGCGCCAGCTCCTCAGCGCTAGACGAGCTCAAGGCGTCGGCGCTGCGCGACTTCAACGCCTCGGTGCCCTCGGCGGCGCTGACGGAGCTCGAAGCGCAGCCGAATATCTCGCAGTGGCTCGACGTGTACAAGGCCATGGGCCTCAAGCCCAAGAAGAAGACGAAGCCGACGCACTACGCCTTCTGCTCGCGCGTGCTCAAGGAGCAGAAGTGGCCGCGCAGCATCGGGCCGCTCGTGGACGTGTATTTGGCGAACCAGCTGTCAGTCTCGCTGCGAGCAAAGAGCTCGCAAGCAGCATGCTGATTTTTGCCCGCAGGCAACACGTCATGCCTCACGGCGGCTTCGACGTCGCCAGCCTGACGCAAGGCACCATCGTGCTGCACCAGGCGCAGCAGGAGTACGCCTTCCAACCGCTCGGCGTGCCCGCCGCCGAGCCTGAGCGCTTCGAGCAGACGAGCGTCGGCGAGTACATCTACCGCGACCTCGGCGACGCCGATGCGGCCGATGCAGCAGCGGCAGGCACGCGCGTGCTCACAAGGCATCTGAACTACCGCGACGGCGAGGCGACGAAGATCTGCGACGAGGCCGACGAGGCGCACTCGACGCGCGACTTTGTGCTCTTCGTCGAGGCGCTCGACGCATCTGCAGCCGGGCGGGAGAAGCTGAAGCGCACGGCTGAGGATCTGGAGCAGGCGTACGTCGCCGTGTACGGCGCCGACAGCGTGGAGCGATCGTACGTGCGCATCGTGGAGCTGGAGAAGGGCGCGGGCGTTGCAGAGCTGGCGCTCGACTGGTGAAGTGTGTCACGGACTAGTGAAATACACATGCACCTGCTGCCTGCGAGAGAGATGAGCTTGAGCGCTGCATTGGGATGTGGGAGAGAGAAAGCAAGCCGCGCGCGGCGCCGCCGCGCCGCGCCTCGCCGTGGGGTGGGCGAGCGAGCGCCGCGCAGTGCCGAGCCTGCTTGCTGCACCTCACCACCACCTCTTCGCACACCTCTCGCGCCGCAGAGCAGCTGCCCCCTCGGCCCGTAGATCAATGCAGCTCGGCGGGCAGGCCTGCTCGAGCGGCTCGCAGCGCCGCTGATCGCACGATGGCGCGCATCGCCAGCGCGCCCGCCTCGAGCGCCTCGCCAGCGGCGTGTCTCGAGTGCCGCCTGAACAAGGTCAGCCCGCAGCGTGTCGCTGAGTGACGCGCCTCATCACCCAGCGCTGAGGCACATCGCCGCAGGTCAAGTGTCGCAGATCCACAGCCGACGCAGCACAACCGTGCCAGCGCTGCGAGACGCACAGCTTCGAATGCCGCTTCGAAGCGCCCCGCAAGCGCGGACGCAAGGCAGTCAGCAAGCTGGCCGCAGCGCCGGGCCCGACAGCGACGACGAGCGCCTCGACAGCGCCGTCTGCCTCTCCGCATGCTACGAGCCCCTTTTCCGAGCATGCCACTCAGACGACGGCGCCGCTTGGCGCCGAGGCGCCGGCTATGCTGCGCGACGCTCTGCTGCGGCAGCACGTCTGGCACACGCTCATGGCCGCGCCGCGCACCTCGACGTACACGTTTGTGTCCTCTGGCGACGCCGATGTGTCTGACCTGCACTCTGCCGGGGCCGCGCGATCACGCTCCGGGCAGCCTGGTGGCGTGACGCTCCGCCAGCTGCTGCACAGCCCCGAGGCGGGCGCACAGCCCAGCGGCCGCGATCGCACCCTCGCGGGCCTGCCCGCCATGATCGACCTGCTGGCACCACGAGACCCCCGCCTGGCCTGTACGATTGCCGATGCTCAGGTCGACGAGCTGCTCGCGTACTTCGACGAGCACCTGAAGCCTTGGCTCGGCGTCATGGACGGTGAAGGCTGGGCACTGCCGGACCTGGCGTCCAGGCCCTTTCTGCTGTGCACGGTGCTCTACGTCGCGGCACGCTACCGTCCGTCGCTCGCTTTCTCAGACTGGAAAGCCAGGCTCGCGGCGCACACCCGCACGCTGGCGGTGCTCGCGTTCGCAGAGGCGCAGTGCTCCCTCGATGTCGTCCTTGCGTTCCTGCTTCTGACCGTCTGGAAGTCGCCGGACGACGACTTCTCCGAGCTGTATCTGGGCTACGCCGATCGTATCGCGGCGCTGCACGGCGGTGTCACTTTTGCCTCTGCCAAGCGTGGCGATGCATTGCACGCGCAGGCGAGCAGACGCGACGAGAGGATCCTGCTCTTCAATCATGTGCAGCAGAACGTCTACGTCTTGCATCACTGCCCGCCGGGGCGCCAGGCCGGCGTCGGCGATGCTGCTCTGGGCCTGCACCTCTCTGCCTGGGCACGCAGCCCAGATGTCCAGGCGTGCGACTGGTTTCTCGCCTGCGATGCGGCCAGCACGGAGCTGCAACTGCGGTACCGCACGGCGCTGGACCAGCTGGAGCGCTCCGACACGCACCTCGGCTCTGCCGCCCAGACGTCGCTGCTCGCGCGCTTCGTCGGAGACCTCGAGGCGTGGGAGGCGCAGTGGACGTTCGAGTCTCGGCTCGCGTCGTGGCAGAGCCACGCCGCCGCGAACTGCCGCACAGTTGGGCTGTTCCTCTTTCGCAACAGCGTCAAGATGCAGGTGTGCGCCGTCGCGCTGAAGAGTGCACTGCGAGCCGCGCTCCAGGCGGCAGCCGTCGACAACAACAAGCGCGTCTCGCTGGCCTCTGCCGATGCCGTGGAGCGCACCTTCCGCCTCTGCCTCGACGGCGCGCTCGGCGTCCTCGCGCAGATGCCGCTACTCTCGGCCACCGAGCTGGCGCACATTCCAGACTCGCTCGTCGTCCTGGCTGCGCATGCCGCGCTGCTCGTCATCTACCTGCACCTCTTGCCTGCAGCGCTCGCGGATGCCGGCTACGAGGGATTGACGTTCGCTTCGATCTCCAACCTGGCCGCGCCGCAGAGCATGGGCAGCATTCGCGCCGCCGCGGCCGCCATGAGCGCGGCCGCCTCTGCGCTGCCGGCCTCGGCTGCCGAGAACGCGGTGCATCTGAGTGCCCGCTACCTCGACGCGCTGTGCCGCCTCGTGGAGCCGACGCGCGAGGCAAGCGCCGCAGACGCGCTCGTCGCCATTGGCGAGCAGACGCTGCTCGACGGCGACATGGCCACGGACGAGCTCGGCTGGGACTGGCTGCAGGCGTTCCTGGCTGCTCCGGGCGCCGGCTTCGCGGCATGATGTACATTATCCTCCCACTTCTCCGTCAATCGATCCTCAAGCAGAGTCGTGCAGGGTATGAATTGGCTCGCCACCGGGAGTATCAGCCGCCAAGCACACACCACGGCCCGCCGCAGATGCCGCAGCGCGTCTGCCGCTTCAGCTCGCTGAGCTCGCTGCCCTCCTGGTGCTGCTCTGGTGCGTCTAGCTCCATCGCCTCGCCGGCAGCGTTGTGATCGCCGGTGTCGCGAAGCTCTGGCGGCGCCAGCGCCGCTTGCGCGCCGCACCAGCCGCAGCTGCGGGCGCCCGTCTCTAGCAGGCGCAGCGTGACTGAGCACCTGGCTGCAAGGCAGAAGTAGGTCAGGGCGCAGCCACGCCAGCACGTTCGCTGCGACTCACACCAGATGTGGCCGCTGGCGCACTTTGCCAAGTCTGCATGCTGCAGACTGAGCGCGACGCTCGCACTGCACACCGGACAGGTCTCTCCCGTGTCGACGCCGACATCCGTCTGCAGCGAGGAGAGTCAGACATGGCATGCAGGGCCGTACAGCCAGGATCCGCACCTGGGCCTGCGCGGTCCACGCCTGCTCCGTAGCCTTGGCCTGCGCCTTGGTGAGGAAGCTCTGCAGAAGCTTCGAGGCCTGGCTGCGCATCTGCGCGTCGGAGCCGTCCGTCGAGGCCAGCAAGCCGAGGGCGGCAGTGCGCTTGTAGTACGAAGCCGACTCATGCGTGTCTGCGTCTCACTGTCAGACAAGAGCATGCTCATGAGCGGGCATCACTGACCTGCGTGCCCATTTCGCCCGTTTAGCGCTCCGATGATCCTCTGCAGCCTGGCACGCAGATTGGCGCGAATCACACTGCGCTTGGCGTGGTCTAGCGTCTGGACGATGTTCGCTCTACTGCTCTCGGCGCTTTGTGACTGTGCACGCGAGGTCAGAGACTGCTTGAGGCGCCACTGTCAAGTGCAGACTTACTGCCAGCCAGGTGCTGAGCCAAACGACGCCTTGCAGCTCCTCAACACCTTCAGCGTCGCGCCTGGCTTCCACTTCTCGGTGGACAGCGTCGACAACGCTCGCCCTTGCGGACCGCGGCAGCGCGTGGTAGTACGCCAGGAGGGGCGCGAAGCGAGCTGCCGAGTTCCAAGCTGACCAGGCGCGAAGTGATGTGAGCCCGGACACAGCAGAGCGCTTTGCAGCGCGCTTACCAGTGGCGGCCGTCTGGTGCCGCAACAGCGCAGTCGCCCTCTCTGATGGCTGAAACGGTCCCTCTTCGGCGGGCAACGAAAGGAGCAGAGTCGCGCTCAAGGCCGGATGCCTGGCGTAGCGAAACTGGCCCAGGGTGTCCGCACTGCACGCCGATGTCAGTTGCGCGCGCTACGCAAGGCGTCCGTTCGTGCTAACCGATGCACTGCCCACCGGAGTGAGGCCTGGCTCTGCCCGTCCAGTGAATGGCCTGCAGGGCCAGAGAGAGCCCACAGTCCTTGCTCCGCCTCGTATGATGCCTGCAGATCGTGCACGGCGTGCCCAATGGCGGCGAGGTGCGCCTTCGGTAGGGCGAGCTTGGTCGGCAAGAGCGCCTCCGCTCGTGCAGAAAAGTGCGACAGCTTGACGTGGTATTGCAGCCCGTCCGCGAGGACCAAGTCCAGTCCATCGTGGGTCGCGACGAGCGCTGGCAGGCCGTCAGCAACGCATGTGCATGTGTGACCTCCAGACTCACAGGCAGCAGGGCTGAGCCGGTCTCCCCGGCCTGCGTCGTCTGCGCCCAGCTCGACATGGGACGACGGCGCGCCCGGCACCCACCGGTGCAGTGCGCCGGGAGAGGCGAGGTAAAGCGCATCGCCGGCCCAGGCAGACAGCGCAGACTGATGCGCAAAGGCAAACGAGGCCGACGAGGAGGAGAGGGAAAGCGTCCCGTCCGCGCTGAATGACACGGATGCCGTGTGGACGCTCGACACGGATTGCATCGCGATACGGACTACGAGCGGCGTCAGACGGCGAGCGGAGACCTGAAGGAACACACTCACTGCTCTGTTCATGCGCAGCTTCTGTCCACTGGCCCACGCTCAGTCCGCAGACAGCCTTCGGCGCGGCCTGTGTTGAGCAGACGAACTCTGCCCGTCTTCCTGCGGCAAACCGCCAGAGCAGGAGCTCGCCGAGGCGCGTCGCAGCGAGGAGATGGCAGCTGGACTGCAAGGGAGCGGTGCCTGTGTGCTCTTGCTCCCGAGCTGTGCTTGGAAGCCACGTCATGCCTGCCGAGGGCGGATCAGCCAGCGCCTCGCACACGGCTTCAAGCAGCCTCACAGGTGATCTGTCGCCGCAGAAAGTCTTTGCGGGACGGAGCACCCTCTGCGTCCTTGTCCGCTCCCGGCACGCTCAGATAGTCCCTCTGCGCGGCTCGAACATCAGCGCCAATCGAGCACAAGTCCACTAACACGCCACCCACCACTTCGTACGGACCGCGCACAGGATCTGACTTGGCGTGGAAGACGGACACGCGCAGACTCGAGTCTAGCGCAGCCAGTAGCGGGCTGCAAATCACTCAGCCGCTGGTCGACGCCAACAGCGAGGGCTGCAGGACGCACCTGTTCAGGCTCCCAAACGGCTGCGGCGACCAGGCAGCCGCTTTCCAGCCCAGCTTGTCGAGACCGACGGGAAACGCCGCGTAGTCTACGCGCGTACCGTCAGCTCAGCCTCACAGTCACGGAGCGACAGACTGACCTTGGCCGAGCGCTCTGCCTGTGCTGTGGTCGTCCCTGGCTGGCGCGAGCAGAGGATCGATTCGAATGGCCGTGTACGCCGCACACGACAGTGCCGCGCTGCGCTCCAGTGTCGGCACCTCCAGGCCAGGGAGTAGGCGCATGCTGAGGTCTCTGCTGCTCGGTGCACTGGTATCGGACAGAGGTGCAAGCGTCCATGCAGGCGTCTGTGCAAGACGAAGTCAGTGCCGCCGCGCAGCAGCAGCCCGTCACTGCGACGTACGAGCACGTGGATCGCCGCTGGCGAGACGAAGGCCGCCTGGCCGGCCGGGCTGAGCGCGACGCACGAGCCCATTACCGAGGGCGTGCCGCTCAGCTCGATCGATGCGAGGCGGCACAGCTGAGCATCGGGAACGGGCGCTGCGGCCCCATCGCGGCTGCTCTCTACGCCCTGGGCGCTGTGGCTGCCTTCGGCGTCCTGGGAGCCGGAAGCCGCGGCGCTCGCGCCCGCACGGCGACGTACGGCTGCGGGCATGGTGAAACGTCTGGCCGCGGCCGCGCAAATTCGGCGAGTGCGGGGTACGGTGCGGTGCGAGCGGTGGATGGAGTGGGGAAGCAAGGCGCGCGAGGCCGTGCGCGCGCCGCGCGCCTCCACTCCACGCCAGCAGCAACACGCTCGTGTCGCGCGGGAATCGGGACACACTGCTACCCCCCTTCTCCCCAGGCCTCCTTTGCACGACACAGCATACCGCAGACTTAGATCGGAAGGTGCTGCTTTGATCGAGAAGCATTCGCACGATAAGCCAGGAGGTACAATGACATTAAAGTCTGACGCGGCTCCGAGAGACCGTGGTGGTTCGGCGCGTCCCACAGGAGCGCCGCGCCCGCGACACCCCCTACGTGAAGACAGAGCGGCCGACGACGCCGGCAGAGCTAATCCTTGAGGCTCAGGTCGCCCACAGGCAGCTGAAAGTACGTAGTACGGGGGGTGAAGAAGCTAGAGGATCCGCACCAGTACGCCGCAAAGGCGGTGACACAGCCGACAGCACCTCCAGCACGCTCGAGGCTCGCCATCTGCATGTACTGGTAGCCGCCGAGGAGGCCCAGCGTGCTGCGCGCGAAGGTTAGCGAGGGAGCATATTGGTGCCCGAAAATCTACTCACACGGTGAGGAGCGCCAAGAAAGCGATCATGGCGACGCTCGAGCGCAGCGAAGAGAAGAGGAAGACCAGAGTGATGCCCATCCAGACGAAGAGGTAGAGGCCGAACGCATCAGCGGTCTCCGTCGCGCCCAGGCCCTGAGGCGAGTAGATATTCGGCACGCCGTCGTACGTGCCGGTGAGACCGAAGAACGGGACGAAGAGCGTGGCGATGCCCCACCAGAAACAGCCATAGGACACGAACAGAGTGGCACCGAACTGGTCAAGGCGTCAGCGCCCCTGATCTTGCACTTCGAGGCAGTCGCGGCGACGCACCGTGTTGCCGCTGACGAACTCCCAGAGGCCGGCGAGCACCTGGGTGAAGCCGCCAAAGCAGATGGCCACCGAGACGATGGCGTTGGGCGTCTGCACGCCGGCGACGTGCAGATTGTACAGCGAGTAGAGGAGCAGCGTCGTGCCAAAGCCGTACATCGCCATGGGCACTGCGAGGGCATGGTCAGCTTTGTGCGGCAGATGCAGGTCTGGACGCGGACCCACCAGGGTTGGCGATGCGCCGGTGGCTCGAGGCGACCGCAATCAGCTACGAGGCAGAACCATGATCAGCCGCAAATCATAACCTCCCGCTCGCTGTGTCTCTCACGTCGTCATTGGCGATGTGGCCGCTGTGGGCTGTCGCAGCGGATACCCATCAGTGAAGCGTTCTGGCAGAGCCAATCCGCCGCTGCGACACTCACTGCGGTACGGCTCCTGTACGGGCTGGTAGCCCACGGGCCCTTCCTTCTCGCGCGAGTTCTGGCTGTTGCGATCCAGCGCAGGTGCAGGTGCGGGCTGAGTGAGGAGCGACATGGCGTTGAGGCGCTGAGCAGAGGGCGAAGAATAATCGAGGAGAGCGAAGCAGAGATCGAAGCATGGGAGGGGGGCCCACGGATCAATCTCGCTATATGTAGCGCTGAGTTGCCGCGAGATGCTCTTCCAAACGGCTTGCCTCTCGACCCGCTTTCGCCCAGACCGGATTAGGCGCGATGGCGGCGCCTTCGCAGAGGTCGCTCTGTGTCGCGATCCGGCACAGCAGCCCAGCAGCACGATGTCGAGATGGTGCACAGCGCCCAGCAGCAAATGCTGGACCCGCATCCGAGCGCTGGGACGGCGACCGGCTGCACGCTTGAGGCGCCCTTAGCCGGACGTGCAGCCGGGTGGCATGGCCAAGCGCGAAGTGCGGGGCCCCGCATAGAAGCTGCTGTGCCTTGCGCGCGACGTGCCATCGTGCAGATCAGACGTTCTGCAGCAAAGGCCTGCGACCTCAGCTGCGTGCTGCAGAGCGGCAGGGAGCCGACGGGAGAGCCCCTGCGCTGATCCGGCCCTGGAGCAGCATGCAGGAGGTGCGGGGGTCGGTGGCTCAAGGTCACTAGAGTGCGGGCCTAACCCCAGATTTTATGCGGCGCTTGCCGCGACACGCGAGATCCGCTGCTTGCGTTCTTGCGCCGCCCGCCGCACGCGTGGGACGCCCGCTTGTCGTGCGCGCCGAGCCGGCTGGCGCTCTTCCCGGCCACCATACCCCGCTCCCGTCTCGCAGTGCAGGACACCGGCCAACGCGCGGGCGCGGGGGCCTTATTCGGAGTGCAGCACGACGCTACTGCTGCTGCTATGGCACAAGGAGTGCTACTTCTGCTGCCCACTCTCCGCCGTTCGAGGCTCGTGCACGCGCTAGAGCACTGGCGGCTTGGCGACCAGAAGCGCCGCTGGAGGCGCCGGCGGCATGCAGGCACGGCTCGACGGATTCGGGAGAGTTGCTCGACGAGCCGGCTGGACGACCTCAGCGTTCAGCCGGTTGCACCCTGAGCGCGCCTGTCGCACTGCAGCACCCGTCGAGTCCGGCCGACGGCGAACCCCGCAGCTGTGCGAGGAGCGATAAACGGCAGTGCACAGCCGCTGTTCGGCTGAGCGCAGCTTGTGGGGACGATACTTTCGCACGCAGACCTGCATGCTGCCGGTCAAGCTGCGGCGCTGTCAGCCAAGTCGTGATGCGCTCGCCAGAGCAGATGTCCTGTGTCGTGGCTCCTGAGTGTCAATGCCTCAAAAGCACAATCGCACGGCGCGGGCCCGCCGCCGCATCCCTGCTCACCCTCTCTTGCCCCCTCTCATATCTACGACATGTCGCAGCCCTACCGCCAGCCGAGCTTCAAGGAGCAGATGGGCCTTGCGCCCGACCCGAACAGGCTCGAGCACGTCCGCAGCGGGAACCACCGCTTCACTCGCCTCCACACCAACGGCGGCCACCCGATCGATACGTCGCAGCCTGGTCTGCCTACTTACCACCGGCGGATCGGAAATCCGCTGCCGCTCGTGCTGCTTGGCATCGGCGTGAGTGACAGTGCTTCACGCGTGTAGCTCTGTGCTGACCTCGCTATCCAGACGCATGTCGTGAGTGTATAAGCTACCCTTCCGTGCTGGCAGCGACTCATTCTCGCGTGCAGCTGTTCCTCGGCCTGATCCTCGTGGGAGTCAGAGGCCTCACGCAGCTCAACATCTCGGTCATGACGGGCCTGCCTCTCGGCGGAGCGGGCCTGTTCATCGCCTGCTGCTTCGCGTTCGCCGAGGGCAACACCTTTGCAGCCACGCTCGGCGGCTGTTTCGGAGGCCTGATCTCGGGCCTGTCGATCGTCTTCTTGCCTTGGACGGGTATTCAGAACGCCTACATCGAGGCCGCCGGCGGCCAGCTGCTGCCGGGCGTCGTCAGCCTCTACTCTGCACTATGTGAGACGCGTCGGCTGCTCTAGTCCCAAGCGCTGATGCTATCTTGCCCACAGCGCTCCTTTGTGAGACACAGCTCAAGTGCGGCCACTCGTGCCATACTGATCCCGCATACCAGTCTTCTGCGCCATGATCCCGGTGTTCTTGTGAGCGGCATGCAGCGCCTTGCTCAACCTAACCTTGTGCCGACGCTGACGCCCATGCGTTTCTGCAGCGTCTACATGGCCTCTTTCAAGACTGCCGTGCCCATCTCCGGCGGTGCCCTGTGCGTGTTCTGCTTTCGACGAGCGAGGTCTTGCTCACTCCTCTGCCTCGCCCAGTCAAATCATCATCGCCTTGATCCTTCTCGGCGTGAACTTCCTGCAATTCGGCAGCAACGGTGGGCCGCAGATCGCCCTGCAGAAGGCCGCCGGCGCGCTGTTGTAAGTTGACCTGACATAGGCAGAGCACGCTCACGAGGCTGAGTCAAGCCTTCACCCCGCAGCATCATCGTCGGCATCGTCCTCTGGTATCTGGCGGCTGCCATCATGAACCAGGAGGAGGGCATCCCGGTGGTGAGCAAAGCAAACGGCCTGTCTGCGCCTCGAGCTGTAGCTGACGCGCTTTTGCTTCCCTCAGCCGGTGCTGCCGCTGCCGCGTTCGGACGACTACTGAGCGCCTCGCTGCGCTTGCTACTGTCTGACTCTGGCGAGAGCGCCGCTTTCTGTGGTGGAGACGTGAATGTATGACTCGCGAGGATCTGCTGCGACACGATGCGGTGATCTGAAAGGCACCACAGCGGCGGCGTTCCGAAGTGCGGCATGGCTCATGCGCAGCCCGCAGCCGGCGAAAGGCTGCTTCGTGGTCTCCCCTCCGGTCAGATTGAGTAGGACGTACGAAGAGGCTTTCCGCCGGCAGATGAACCTGCGCTCTGTCACGTAGACTCCCTGTGCGATGCACCCGTGGCGCGGTGGCGTCAGCGTGGTTGCACCAAGGTGTGGCCGAGGGCTTGTTCGCTCGGACTTGCACGAGCACGCCACAGAGGGGTGAGAAGAGAAGTATTCAGTCGTTATGGGGAGAGACATGAGATGCGAGTCGGACGAGAAACGGAGACGGCAAGATGGGCTAGGGCTGGAGTGGATTGCTGAATGGCCGGACTTGACACCGCGGCGTGCATCACGAGCGCTGCGCAAGGAGGAGGCCTGGTGTCAGCGGAGACAAGAAAGGGGGAGTTACTGCACACAGTCTCACCTTGGCCTGTGCGAGCCCTGCGCTGGTTCAGCTGAGGCGCTTGCGCTTCTCGCTGCTAGGGCCTGCTCCGGCGTCTGTAAGAGTACTGTGAGCAAGTCTCACAGTGCGAGGCAGAACCCACTTCTGACTCGCCTTCAGGCTTGATAAAAGGGTTCGGGCCCGCAGCCTCCTTGGCAGCTCCCTTGCCCATGTTTGGCTGAGCGAGCGGCGGCTGAGGCTCGAGATCCTCGAGGCTCTTCTCAAGAGCCTCACGGCGCTTGTTCATGTTGGCGATCGCCTCGAAGTTGCGCAGCGGCTCACCAAGCAGCTCTGCCTGCCTCTTGAAGCGGATCTCGGCCAGACCCAGCTGAAGCAGCATCTCCTTGCTTGCCTGCTCGCGAGGCCAGTCTGCAGCGTACTGGGCCGGTTCCTCGGCAAGCACGGCAAGACGCTTGTTGCGGGTGAGCAGCGCGGCAGCATCTCCGTGGAACTTGCGAGACTCGCGCAAGTGAAACACTGCATCCTCGTTAGGAAGTTGGAGAGCGTAGTATGCGTCCTGGCACACAGCCATCCAGGACTGGGCGCGCTCGTTGCTCTGGAAGACGCACACGCCGTAGAACTGCTTCATGAGTAGGTCGACGCTGCGGGCGAGCTCGGCCTTGAGGACCGGCGGCGACACCGAGTTGCCCACCGTCTTGAGGTGATCGAGTAGCACAGTTGACATAACGGCCGAAGAGAGTGCCGGAGCGGCGAGTGCGATGACGAGGTGGGAGCGAAGCCGGTGCAGCCTAGCTTCATACCAGTCGTGCACGGGGAATGTCAGTCCAGGATCGGGCAAGTGTGCAGTGGCGACGACACGAGACAGGTCCGGCGCTGCAAGAAGACTCACGCAAAGGTGGCTTCGTCACTTATCGAAGATGCTGCGCAAATGACGCTGCACTCGAGGCGGACGGACGACTGGTCAGTCGCGACGAGGCCTGGGTGTTGAGGATGACGAGCTGATGGGCGAGAGAGCGAGCGGGCCGGCGCGGCAAGCGGAGCGTAGAGTGAGCCTCTCAGGCGCACGAGAAGAGACAGGCCGCAGAGGGATGTGAAGTGGCGAGCGGCGGGACGCGTTGACGGCAGTACGACGGGGCTGGAGATGGGCGATGGTGGAGCGAAGGCAGGGTCTCTGCGGCCAGCGCTGACCGAAGCTATCGTTTGCGCCTCGGCTCACCACGTGCGCAGCTCACCGGCTGCCGAGCTGGCGCGGCGGGCGGCGCCGAGCCACTCGAGGCTGATTGAGACGCTGTACGTGCGCGTGTTGATGTCGAGATTGCGGCGTCGTCGTGTCCAGGGATGTGCACGTCGCGTCGTGTGAGTGTGACGAGTTGTGTGCGGCGTCACATCACAGGTGGCGCCGCCTGCCCGCGTCCGCGTCGAGGCGCAACGCATCTCTCGCGCTAATCTCTTCCGCTGTTTGATTTTGAGCAACATACCTGCTTCGCAAGGTCTCCTCCAGCTCGAGTAGGCGCTCACAGCGCGCGCATGCGTGGTGCTGGAGCGTGCGCACAGCGGCGTGCTCCAAGCGCTTTGCGTGGGAGCAGGACCGGCTCTTGATTTCGCGAGCCGGGCCGGCGGGTGCGCTGGGCCGGACCAGGCGCTACCCCGCACTTCGCTCCGCACCACATTCGTTGATGCTCGTCGCTCAGCCGGCGCTCCACACTCTCCCACCGCACTCGCAGACGATCTCGACCTCCAGCAGCTGCCGTTCGTGCTGCGGAGCGGCGCACGCGCTCAGCACGTCCGCCATCCGGCAGCCGCATGGCAGAGCAGCACCCGCGCCCGGGCGCCAGCGCCCGGCCGGGCAGCTCGACCGCAGGCTCTTCCTTCGCTCTGCCGGCCGGCCGAGCGAGCGAGAAGCCATCAGTGTCCGGACTCAGCAAGTCCTCGGTGCGCAGCGATGACTCAGACGAGGGCGAGTCGGACGGCGACGACGACGATGCCGACGAGTCCGACTCGCAGGCGTCTGCGTCGTCGAGCACGCGCCTCGAGGACGGGCCCAAGCAGAAGCAGAAGCGCAAGCGCAGCTCCGAGGCGTGCACGGCATGCCGCCGGCTGAAGATGCGCTGCGTGCCTGCTACGACGCCAGGCCCCGGCGTCGGGCCCAGAGCGCTCGCGCCGTGCGCCAGGTGCCTGCGGCTGAGGCGGCCGGGAACGTGCGTCTTTGAGGGCGGGAGAAAGGCCAAGCGCAAGCGGCGGGAGGCGGAGAGAAAGGCACGGGACGAAGGCCTGACGTATCTCGCCAAGGCTGGAGAGATGCACATGGTGGGCCAGCCCAATCCAGTGGGGACGAGCGGATGGCCCGGCGCTCAGCCTTCGGGCAGCGGCTCGGTCAAGGTGTCGATGGACCAGCCGTCGTTCGTCTTCAGCGCCGATCATATGCCAGCAGCGGCGAGCACTGCGAGCAGCGTGCACGCCGAGCAGCAAGAGATGCGAGGCCGCATCGCGACACTCGAGCGCAGCGTGAGCCACCTTGCCGGCGTGGTGAGTCAGATGCAGGCGCGCGATGCGCTGCCACGCTACGCGCCGCTGCCGGACGTGACCTCTGCATCAACGCATCAGCCGAGCTCAAGCAGACTGCAGCACGACTGGAGCCAGGCACAAAGCGAGCCGATGGGCGCCACAGCCTCGAGGGCTAGCCAATCACATCGGATCGAAACGACATCTTTCGCTGCATCGCTCCCTTCGCCCGCGATATCTTCAACGAGCACACGCCGAGCGGGCGTGGACAGTCAGCTACATCCTATCGGCGTGCTTGCCGAGGCAGCGCTGAACACGCACGCGCCGCCGCAGCGGGCCGAGCCTAGCACCGGCAAAGGCGAGCGCAATCGCGCACTGGCCGTCGTGCCGCTCGCCGCCGCTCGAGCCCTCTTCGCGCTGTACTTTGACAAGTGTGCGCAACATCTCCTCGTGCTAGACGGAGACCCGTGTAGGCACGGCGACCCGCACTTCGTCATCGGACGCTCTCCGATACTCTATCTAGCAATCTGCGCGGTCGCTAGCATCTACGTGAGGGGCTCAAAGGTGCATGATCAGTGCAAGGAGGTGGCCGACGAGATGGTCGCGACCAGCATCGTCAAGGGCCATAAGAGCGTCGAAACCGTGCAGGGGTGAGCAGCCGTACTCGGCCGCGAACAGGCGCAAATGCTGATGCTCCGGTGCAGACTGCTTCTGCTCTCGATGTGGGGGCTTCCGTCGCGACAATTTGAGCTCAACACGAGCTACCTCTTCGTCGGCTTGGCGATGCGCATTGCCAACGACCTTGGCCTGCACCGCGAGGCGCTCTGTGCGAGCCCGAGCACCGATTCGTGGGACGCCGTGAACCGGCAGCGCGCCTGGTTCTGCGCCTTCAGCGTCGATCGCTCGCTCAGTGCGCAGCTTGGCAAGCCCAATGCGGGCGCTGCCGGCGCCGGGCAGCTGAGTCGTGCAGCTGGGACCTGGGGCTTCCACCCGGGCAACAAACCGTGGGACAAGGGAGTCGCCTCGTTCGTCGAGTTGCAGACGATCCTCGTGAGTTTTTGCGCCCAGGCCCGAACGCAGCAGCTAATCAAGCCCTCTCGCCCCAGACGCGGCAGCTCGAGTGGCTGTCGTCGCACATCAACGGCCCGCAAGAACGATCAGATGCCTCGATTTCAGCAGCACTGCCGCGCTTCAACCAGCAGCTCGACGAGTGGGCCGAGCGCTGGAGCGCATATGGCTTCTTCTCCGAGCCGAGCAGCGCAGAGCCCGCGCCGGCCAGGGCAGACAACTTCGACGAGCGCATGCTGCAGTCGCTCCGCAAGCAGTGGCCGATCCGGCTAGAGCACGCCCGTCTGCAGCTAAACAGGTGCGCAAGAGACAGAGTGCGCACGCGCTACATCCGAGATGCTCACCGCCGTCGACAGCTTCGGCCTGCAATTGGCCATGCAGGAGCCCGACGACACGGTGCTCAAGCTCGAAAACTGTGCGTGCAAGCGCAGCATCGGCGCATTTACTGCTCATCGCGCTGTCACAGTCTACCATCGCTGCTGGAACGCCGCGGAGAAGTTCACGACGCACGTCCTGGCGGGCATGCGGCCGGTGTTCCGCTGGTCGCCGAACACGCAGCTCGTCATGGCCTCGTACTCCTGCGTCTTTCTGCTCAAGCTCACCCAGCCCGTGAGGCGGCGTGGCAACCCGTGGCACCTTGCACCGCTCACATGCTGTTGCTTCAGGCTTTCGCACACTTCGGCAATGGTCGCCGCGCGGTCAGCATCGTCGAGCAGGTCGCCGCGATGCTCGAGGAGGTCTCGATCTCGCCGGCGCATGCTCCCGCTCTGCACGCCTCTTTCCTACGCTCACTCCTGGCATCGCGCAAGGAGCGCGCGGCCAGCGGCACGACGACGCCGGCCTGGTTCCGCAACGGCGGCATCTTGCGACTCCTCTCGCCAAGTGGCGGCGACACGACCTCCGACATGCTGCTCGACGCAGCAGCAGGCGTCACGTCGAATGCGCTGCAGGAGCAGCAGATGCAGGTCGGCGCCACGTCGGGTCTGCCGATGGACTACCTGCTCGACCCTGATTTCTGTACGTGAAGCCCACGTCTTGTAGCCGAGCATGATGCTGACACCAGCTTGCAGGGTCTTCGGTCCACTGGCTGCCGCCGGCCATCCCCGACTGGAGCAGTACCGTTGCTCGAGCAGACCGCGGCGACCTTCACGGGACGTCCGGGCTCTTCGACAATCCGCTGGCATGACCTGCGCGCGTGCCCGTCGATACCCTTCGCCCTGCATCTGTACAACACGACACAGCCTGCGTCTCAGTGCCACTTGGACCGATGCGAGTGAGATGACATTGTTCCCGTACACGTCCTCCAGAGGGCCCATCGAGCGGCGGGCCACACAAGCGAGTCGGCCTCATCGCCTGGCCTGCTGCCCGCCTGGCGCGGCCGTATTCTGACCTGCGCCAGGTGCCGCTTGCAACGGCTGGGCGCCTGCAGGTCGAGCTGCCTGTTGCGCCTGCGCCTGCTGTTGCTGCTGCGCCTGCTGCGGCTGGCCGGGCACCTGCGGACGAGCCTGTGGGCGCTGTTGTCCCTGTGCCTGTTGCTGCGGCGCCGGACGACGCTGCTGCTGCTGGAGCGGCTGCTGCTGTTGCTGCTGCATCTGCGGCTGAGAGCCAGCCGGAACGGCAGCCTGCACGGCGGCTGCTGCGGCCTGGTTGCGCCAGAGCTGCGCGGCGAGCGAGTTGATCTGAGAGAAGGAGAGTCAGCAAAGAAAAGCGCAGCAGCACAGCGCTTCGATGACGCACCTGCTCCTGGGTGATGTTCGAGTTGGTGCTCGCCAGGCTCTGTGTCAAGCTGGCCTGCAAGGCGAGCAGCGCCTGGTTCTGCTGCGGCGTGGTGCCGGGCGGAACGACCATGCCCTGCGCCGGAGCCGTAGCGGTCCCGGGCCGCGAGCCGGCGGCTTGCTGACGAGCAGCTTGAGCGCCTGCTTGGCCCTGCGGGAACTGCCCAGCGGCATTTGGCGCTCGGTACATCTGGCCTTGCTGCATCGGCGCCTGGCTCGTATTTGTCCGCGCTGCAGCGATGCTCGGCGAGCCGGTGGCCATGTTCTGCTGCTGCTGCTGCGGCTGCGGCGCCTGCTGCTGCTGTTGCGGCTGGCCAGGCTGTTGAGCACGAGGCATTGGCGACTGCGGACGAGCGGGCTGCTGGAGCTGCGAGGGTATCGGACCGCGCGCTGCTTGCTGAGCGCCCTGTGCGCCCATCTGGCCTTGGGGCTGGCCAGCAGCTCGAGCACGCGCCTGTGCCTGTGCCTGCGCTTGGGCCTGAGCCTGCGCTTGCTGCTGCTGCTGCTGTTGCTGAGCCTGCTGGGCTTGCTGCTGCTGCGCCTGTTGCTGCTGCTGCGCTTGCTGCTGCTGTTGCTGCTGGTTCTGCTGTGCCTGCAGAGCAGCCTGCTGCTGCGCGGCGTTGCGCTGCGCCTCGAGACGCTGTTGCTCGCGCTGTTGCTGGAAGGCATAGTACTGCCGGAAGCTCGTCTCGTCGCGCTCGGCCTTGAGCGTGCTGAGCTGCTGTGGCGTCAGCGCCGGGCCAGGCTTGATCTGCGAGTGCGTCTCGTGCGACTGCAGGTTGACCTTGCGCGCGGCCTGCGCGGCCGTCGGCTTGGCTTGGGCGTCGCGACGCTTGCTGCACTTGCGCATCACCTCGACGATGTTGACGTGCCGCATCTTCTTGCGCGAGCCGTCGTATTTCTGCCCGAGCTTCTTTGTCAGGCGCTCACGCTTCGCCGCAAGCGAGCTGGAGGCGGCAGCCAGAGCGGCGGAGGACGCGGCAGCTGCTCCATCGCCAGTGCCTGCCGCAGCGCCCGCAGCAGCAGCGGCTGCTTGCGCAGCCTCGGCCACGGACGGCAGCGTTGGCGGGCCCGGTGGAGGCTTGCCATCCTCGGCAGCCTTCTGGATGCGCTGCCAGCGGTCGTAGCAGTCCCAGGCTTCGCGGCGATCCGTCGGGACGGTGAGGCGCGTCGAGTTGAACAGATCAGAGATCAGCGCCCAGTGCGTACCGTATTGGCGCACGAGGGCGCCCAGGTACTCGTCCTCCTCGCTGCCCCAGAGGAACTGCGCAGCGCGCACGTCGGGATTTGCCGGAGCAGCAGGCACAGTCGAGACGTGCGGCGCCTCGCGCGACGGTTTGTTGCTCTTGCGCGTGAAGAGCAGCGAGCCGGGCTGCAGCGGCGCGTCGAGCTGGTCGGCACTGACGCCCTTCGACGGGTCGGCCAGCTCGGCGGCGATGTGCCAGTCGCTGTCCTCGCGCCACTGGCCCATGGCGCGGTTCTTTGCTGGCTGCAGCGTGGAGACGAGCAGCGGCTTCGAGTCAAGCAGGCGGCTAACATGCGTCAGCCGCGGCGCCGCGTTGAGACTGCCGTCGTCCCAGCGGCGCTCGCTCTTGCCGCTCGCCTCCGGCTCAGTCGGCGCGTCGTACAGCGGCAACTCGGGGAAGAGCGTGTGGAACGAGATCTCGTCGAGGTCGATGCCTTCCGGCACTTCGACGCCCTGCTTGGCCAGGCTCTCAGCGGCGGCGTCCAGCAGCACCGACGCGGAGACGACCGTTGCAGACGTGCTGGCGTTGAAGACCGGCAGGCGCAGCGTGGCGGCGAGCGCCTGCGGCAGGAGCGTGTCGTCACGGCCCGGCGCTTCCGGCCGCACTCCGCTCGCGACAGCTTCGCCATCGACTAGCACCGAGATGTCGGCCGCTGCGGCCGGCGGCGGCGCGGCCAGCACAGGCATGGGCCCGGGCGGAGGCAGCGGCTCCTTGACGACCTGGATCGGGGGTAGAGGCGCGGCCCGGCTGTCGTCCAGCGCCAGCGAGCGGTCCACATCGTCCGCCTCTGCATCTGCATCAGCGTCGTATTCTTCGCCCTCTGCGTCTGCGTCTGCGTCCGCATCAGCATCAGCATCGGCGTCCGCATCAGCGTCGGCATCTGCCTCAGCATCTGCGTCCGCGTCCAGAGCGACGTCCGCCTGCGATGACGCGTCTCCATTTGGCGCTGCAGAGACTGCATCCTGCATCTCGACGTCGACGCCCTGCTCGAGCTTGACGCCGTTGGCCGCAGAAGTGTGCGCATCGGGCAGAGCAGACGGCGGGAGCCGCCGACGCACGCACATTGCGCGCCGAGCAGCGGGCGAGGCGCGCCAAAAGTCCTTGACGGCGTGAACGAGGGCGTGCGCAACCGACAGCTTCCAGCGCCGCTCTTCGCGGAAGTCCGTCTGCATCCAGCGCATCTCCTCGAGCAGGTGGTCCCACTGCGCCTTCTTGACGACGGGTCCCTTCTGCTTCTTCGGCTGGCGGAAGCTCCACTCGCCCTTCTCCTTGAGCTTGTCGATGCGCTCCATCGCGCGCACGAAGCGCTTCTCTGCAAAGGCAGCCTTCCAGTCTGTCGTGCTGAGACACTTGTCGGCCTTGCCGACGAGGCCAGCTGTCGGGCTCGCCGTTGCCCTGACTGCCCAGCGCTTCAGGTCTGCTGGCCCTGCTCCGGCCGGCCCAGCAGGAGGCGGCACGCCAAAGCGCGGCGGCTGCGCCTGCTGCGCTCGTCGCGGGCCGCGATGATGGATGGCGCCGCCCGCCACGCCGACGCCAGTGAAGCGACGGAACGGGTCTGGCGGCAGCGGGCGCAGCGAGGACGCGTAGGTGACAGCGAGCGGGTTCGGCGCAAGCTGCTGCAGTGTCGGGTGCAGCGGCGGCAGAGCAGCATCAGACGACGGAGCGCTCGAATCGGGCTTCCGGTCGAGAGTGGGAGACGATGCTGGAGCTGCGCGCGCGGGAGCAGGGGAAGAGGCGGACACCGATGGCGCGCGGACCTCCTCCTCCGGCTCCTTCTTCGGCGACTTGAGCGGCTGGCTCTGCGACTGCGAGCCAGCGGACGGGACGGTGACGGCCGTCGCCTGCGTGTCTGCTGCCGTTCCCTGGCTCTCGTCCTGAGTCTGCGTCTGAGACTGCGATTGCGTCGCCGAGGCCACCGGCGCCGGTGCGACGCTTGCCGGGGTCTTCGGAGCTTCAGTCGTCTTTGGCTGCTTGCTTGCGCGCTGCTCGGCAGCAGCATCGGCCGCGGAAAGCGATCGCTTCTCTGGAGACGCAGCGGCAGAAGGGGCGGCAGCATCGGCTGCTGACGCAGCAGAACCAGCTGCCGGCTTCAGCGGAGAGGACGCCGGAGTAGCAGCCGCTACAGGCGCTTTGCTGACTTTCGCAGGAGGTGGCGGCATCAAAGCGCTTGCACCTGCGGCACTGGCCGCCTCACCACTGAGCGAGCTGGGGCCCGCGGCTGCGCTCGCAGCTGCGGCCTTCGCCGGGCTGACTGCCGGCTTCTTCGGGCTCGTGGCGCTGGCCTTGGCCGGACTGAGCGGGCGCGGCGTGGACGGCGCCGTCCCAGGAGCAGATGGCGGCTGCGCTGAGTTGTCTGTGCGTGTGCGAGCGAGTCGCGGCTTCTCGACTGCCGAGGCCGTTGGTAGTGGAGGCACGGCCGGCATGGGTGGCACGTCGAGCTCCATGATGCTCTTGCCGCCCCTTGAGACACATCGCTCCGTCAGCGATCCGCCCGAAGCCAGCTGTACCTACTGCATACTCACTTGCGAAGCTGCCACTCCTTCAGAAACGCAGTTGCTGTCGCATCTGGCTCGGGCAGCTCGGCAGACACCGGCGGATGTGCCGGCGAGCCGATCTCCTCGAGCTGCGTCCGACGCGTCAGGAGAAAGTGCAGCTCGTGCAAGTCCAGCGCATGCGAGCTTGTCAGGGCCCTGGACAAGCTCGTCAGCCGATCTATACATAGCACTGGAGAGGTCAGATCAACGACTCACCGGGTCTCCTCCTCCCGCTCGTGCACCCGCCGGCGCCGCAGCTCATCAAGCGTGACGCGCGACGAGCTGGCCTCGGCAGAAGCGCTGGCAGCGCTCGCACGCGTGCTCGTGCCGATGCCCGAGCTGCTGGTCGGCAGGTGTGCCGAGCTCGACGTCGCGGACGGCATCTTAGCGGCGCTCCCAGGTGCAGCGATGGGCGCGGCTGCAGTGACCCTTGGGCCGTGCTGATGCGATGCGCGGCGCGCCGGTGGGCGACGAGCTCGCGAGCTGGGTCTGTCGGCGAACTGTTCGTTTGACAGAGATACGCCAGCAGTCACCAATGCAGCTGAAACTGCGCAGCCGGGAAGCGGGTGCGCGAGCGGGTATCGAGAGGGGTTGTGATGGGATAGGAATGGCGGATGGTGAGACGGGATGGCGCGTCACGTGCGACGGCCGTCGCGTCGCGCGGCCCAGCCCAAAGCGCTGACGGCCGGCCTGGCGCCGCCGCCCGCCAAGCGCGGCTCAGCGTGCGACTCCGTTGTGCTGGCGTCGTACGTGGGCGCCGTCGTGGCCAGTGCGCCAGACCCTCAGCCTGCTCTCCACGTCTCCCTCCACTCCACCTCGCTCGCTCGCACTGCACCGCACACCTTCAGCTCGCCTGCCTTCGTAGATCAAAGCACCGCGCCCCACCCCGCTCCGTCGCTCGCCATGGTCGTCCTCTCCACGTCCGACAATGAGCAGTTCACCGTCGAGAAGGACGTCGCTGAGCGCTCCACGCTCATCAAGAACATGATGGAGGGTGAGTCGCCATGCCTGCGCAGGACTTGAGGCTGCGAGATGGCGCATGAAATTGGGAAGTAGCCGTTGTGTGCGTGACTGCGGTATGCATGCTTGGCGGCGGTGCAACCTGAGGCGCAACGAGCTGCTGAATCGCTACATGATCGCACCTGTGGCCCTGGACTCAGCTCATGCTCCTTCGCAGACCTGTCCGAGGGCGAGGACATGCCCATCCCGCTGGTGAATGTCTCGGCCAATGTGCTGAAGAAGGTGAGTCAGGCTGCGCCACGGGGACGGAGCAGAAGGTGGGGGCTGTAGGGAGTGCGAGGCACAGCGGCACGACGGGCAGCATGAGGGTCGCGAGAGTGCCAGGCCGTCCAGGTTGCCCGTGGCGAGCAGAGGCGAGAACGACAGCGATGTGTGCTGCACAGCAGAAGGTCCCAATGCGCTGCCTTCATCGCCGCCTGCCGGCTACGCCCATGGCTTTTTACCGCGCGCCCGCTCGTGATGACGGCCCCGGGCTGCGCACGGGCATGGCATCCCTATGTCCATGAGAGGAGCAGCGAGACTGACACGCCCCTGCAGGTTCTGGAGTACTGCTCGCACCACCGCGCCGATGCGCCGCCGCCGGCCGACGACGCTGAGGAGTCGCGCAAGCGCACGACGGACATCTCCGAGTGGGATGCCAAGTTCATCCAGGTGGACCAGGGTGCGTGCACCTCGTGAAATGCGTGTGCACGCCTGTGCTGACCCCGCATGGCTCGCAGAGATGCTGTTCGAGATCATCCTCGCGGCCAACTACCTCGACATCAAGCCGCTGCTGGACGTCGGCTGCAAGACGGTGGCCAACATGATCAAGGGCAAGACGCCCGAGGAGATCCGCAAGCTCTTCAACATCCAGAACGACTTTACGCCCGAGGAGGAGGCGCAGATCCGCAAGGAGAACGTGAGTGCCGCGGCGCGAGCCTCTGGTCTGTGCACCAACCGAGAGCTCACACTGCTTCCCGCCGCCAGGAATGGGCCGAGGAGCGCTGAGCGCCTTCTCTCTCTCGCCGTACGCAAGCAGGTGCCAGCGCACCCACTCTGCTGTGCAAAATCCCTGTCACGCCCGTCCCGTCTGCCCCAGTCCCGGCCATGTCCCTTTCGACCGCATCATCGATCATTCCACGCACCGCCCGCCCGCCGCGCCAGGCATGGCCCGGCTGCCTTGTATCACCATCCTTGCCGCTGCGGCTCACGCCCAGCCACTGCTCGCGCGCAGCGGCCGTGCGTCTGCAAGTCATCTTCATTCAGCTCTACGCCGTGTGCTGTGACTGCTGCCCTGCCTCGTCTCCAACGGTGCTTCAGTGTCTTCGCATCGGCGGCAGCCGAGTGAGAGTGCCGGAGCTGAGCTGCCTTCTAGCGTGCGGCGGGCCGTAGCTCCAGGCACCGATGCTCTCGGTGCGAGGTGAGGGGGGCAGTCGGCGAGACGACGGCGGCATTCGATTGACTGTCTTAAGGACGAGTTGCGGCCCGCCGCTGCTGATTGCGTGGGGTAGATCTTCGCACGGCGGCAGTGCCATGCGGCCCCTCAATGTCGCCCGTCACGACTCTGCCGGCTGTCCCTTTGGATGTTATCCGGCTGAATTGCGGACAGGTGATGTGCTCGCGCTCATCTGCCCGGCCAGGCCGTCAAAGTGCAGGAGTAGGCCTTCGCGTGATAGGCGGCTGACGCCTCCAGAGACGCACCACCACAGCGGCAGGCGGCGCGCGGCAGCGCGCGGCGGGCCGTGCCCGCGATGCCGTAGCGTGTGCTCCACGCGCGGCGGTGACCCCTGAGGACGCACACATCTTCGCGCAGGTCGCTCGGGCATCGACTCTCTGGCCGGGGATCGATCGAGGTGGTCAGCGGAAGCTGTGCTGGTGCCGTGCATCCGTGCATGTCCCTCTCGTGTGCTGGCTCGTGCGCGATGGTGCGCAGAGGAGCGGGTCACTCGAGTCTACTGTCACCTTCGCTCGCCCCTGGCTGACCGACGCTCCTTCTTCCTTCTTCACCCTGTCATACCTGGTCCACCTGTGCAAACGCTCGCCATGATGTACGCACGCTCACACGCACGTCCGTTCATCCCGGTGAGAAGCTCGTCCGTCTCTGACCCGGGCTGAGCACCAGCTGACGCGCGAGCCATTCGCAGCCGCACCTGACTGCGCACATCCGGACCCTGAGCGCTGTGACGTCGAGGTCTGCGTCGCCGTCGCCGGCGCCTCCTGCCCGCCTGTCCGGCTCGACGCCAGCGGCAGCGTCTCGCCTCGGCTTCGCAACGCCGCCCACGCGCTTCGCCTCTCCTGCGCCCGCGCCTCGCACGGCTGCGGCTCGCCCGGCTGCATCGCTTGCCAGCTCGTCAATCGTGCCGAGTCAGGCGTTGGGCTCAGCCCGCGCGCCCGGCGAGGCTGTTCCCTTCGTGCAGAAGGACGAGCTGTGGATCCTTCAGCCGCGTCTCCCGCAGCCTCAACAGATCGCCACGGGTGCGACGACGACGACAACCACAAGCACGGAAGAGCGCATCATGTACTCCTGCGACCAGTGCAAGCACCGCAAGATCAGGTGCGGCGTCCAGGCCGAGCCTGGCCAGCGCGCGCCAGAGGCCAGCGGCGTGTGCACGACGTGCGCCGAGCTCGGCAAGCAGTGCACGTGGAAGCTGGCCCTCGAGAGGATTGCGCGCAACAGCCAAATGGCGCAGAAGCGGGAGGTCAAGCGCCCCACTCCGAAGCGCAGCAGCGCCACGCCCACCAAGCGCAAGTCGTCCATCTCCAGCGACGTGCGGCGCAAGTCGAGCTCGTGCGAGGGGCGCAAGCAGAGTCCCATGAGCCCGTGCGAGGACGTCAAGCCGCTCACGTCGTGCTGATGGGTCGAAGGTCAATTAAAGGGTTCTTGGTCGGGTGACAATGTGCCCTGATGCGGAAGTGTGTTTGCTCGTGCAGGTGACGTGGCGATGCGGAAGGATGTTTGTGCGTCGACGGAGCGGAAGATGTTGCCAGAGAGAGAGAGCCGGCGGATCGGAGGGACGTCGGCCGTCAAAGCGCCGGCTGCCAGCCGTGGAAGATCGTGCCGAGGTTGTCGGGGTTCGTCGCCTGCTGAATGAGGTCGTTGACCGTGTACTCGACGCTGAGCGACGCCGACAGCTTGGCCATGACGGAGCTGATGGCGCGCTCGGCGAGCAGCTCGGCCGTGTCGCGCGCGCCGTCGCCCGTGTCTTCGACCTCGCCGCTGGCGCGGGCCGAGGGACGGCTGCGCCGAGCGTCGCCCTTGGCGGCGCGGTTCATGGCGGCGACGTTGTCGTCGCCAGCTCCCTGTGCTTTGAGCACTTTGACGGGATTCGAGGACCTGCACAGACGAGCGGAGCTTTCAGCGCCACGCAGTCAGCATGTCTCGCCAAGCCACTCACCACGCCCACAGCGGGTCGTAACGGAAGACCTCCAGCACGGTCTTGACGACATCAGCGCCCTCGCGCAACACGCGCAGCGTCTCCTCGCAGCAGCGCCGGTACACGCCCTCGGTACCGGCCATGCCCATGCCGTCAATGATGTCGCGCGTCAGACGGAAGGGCACGAGCTCGGGCACCGGCAGCAGCCGGCCCTGACAGAGCGAGCGAGTCAGTCACTGTGCAGCAGGATGTTGCGGCAGCGCACTCACCTGCTCGAAGGCGACGCCAAAGTCGATGTGCACCACCTCGCCCGTGCCGTTGTCCATGAGGATGTTGGAGACGTGACGGTCGCCGATGCCGAGCATGTGGCCCACGATCGACGTCGTGGCGACGCTGCGCGTGTAGTTGAGGCGTGTGGAGAGCCACGACAGCGGCTCCTTGTGGCGGTCGAGGAAGTAGAAGCGGAACGTGGGCGCAAACTCCTTGCATACCTGCTTGAAGGCCTGAATGCGTGCGGCAGGCGGGGAGCGGTACAGCTTCGACAGCCGCGAGCGCGCCTCAGCGGCGTCGTACTGGCCGGCCGGCTGGAACCTGGGCAGAGCATGTCAGCATGAGCCGCTGTTGTGGCGGCGGAGGCAGCTTACTCGGCGTGTGTGGTGATGATGGGCGTGCCGATGGGCTCCGTGTCCGGCACAAACTCGAGCAGGCCGCACTGAGGCCCGAGCGGCACGACGGCGTACGTACGCACACGAAGGTTGCGTCGGCGAGCCGCGCGGTCCTTCTCCAGCAGGCCGTTGCACAGGCCAAACACCTGCTGCATGATGGCGTCCTGGCGCAGGTCGTCATCGTTCTTGTACTAAGAAGGGTTGGATCAGCAGTGGCCATGCCTGAGCGCTATGATAATCCCTTACCAGCTGCTTGTACTGCTTGCCGTCGCTGCCGATGCAGTCGGTGATCTTCGGCACGTGGATGCCACCGGCGGTCGTGAAGTGCGGCGCATAGCTGGCCACCGAGACGAATGACTCGTACTTGCACGTGGGGTCGATGTCGAGGCGGCTCGTGATGACAGGTACGGGGACGTTGCGCAGCGCAAAGATCTGCAGCGCCGGCCTCGAGGGGATCGCGAGGCGGCCCGACCGGATGCGCCCCTCCGTGTGATACTGCGGAAACGCCACCTGGAGCTTAAGCTCTGCCCACTCGACGCAGGCATCGCCGAGCTTCTCCAGCGCCTTGAGCCGGCTCGCCAGGCGCGGCTGGGTGCGCAGCTGGTGTATGATCTCCTCAGCTGCAGCGCCGCGCGCCTGTGGAGCGCTCTCGACGAGCTGCGAGACACGCCCACCGCTGCCGCTGCTGACCTTCTCGCGCTCGTCGACTGCTCCCTTGCGCAGCGAGAAGAGCGCGTAGAAGGTGTGGAACGGATGGTCGACCGCCATCTTGAGCATCAAGGCCGAGATGATGGCCTGGAAGGCTTCGCTGGTGGGTGCGTTGCTGCTTGGCGTGCTGCGCGCACTGGGGCCGCTCTTGGCGAGGCGCGAGGAGATCTGGTGCGTGAGCGGGATGAACTTGCGCGACGGGATCGAGAGCAGATCGGGGCGATGCGTTGAGTTGAACGTCTCGTCGTCGCTGTGCTCGAACCACAGAGACACGAGGCGGGTGATCGAGTCGTCGTGCCTGTCCGACTCGCTGAGCGCGACGGCGTACATGGCCGTGGCCTGCTCGGCGAAGAGCTGGCACGAGCTCAGGCACACGTCCAGCTGGTCCTGATCCATGGCGAGCAGCTTCGCTGCGGTCGTCTCTTGATGCCGCAACAGCCGCTGCCGCATCTTGTCCTTTTCGGAGAAGAGCTCCGACCTGATCGCTGCGATTTCGTCGCGCCGGTCCGACACGAAGCCACGGAGCTTGCGCGCCTCCTCCGACGACTTACTCTCGCGGAATTGCTCGTCCGCGAATTGGGCGTAGAGATAGGCCACCTTGCCACGCTCCTCGCTCGACACGTCGGAGTGCTCAATGTACTGCCACGCGGGCATGAAGTAGCGATCGTGAATCGCCAATGGCTGGTCGGACCGCGCAGTCGCGCGCCATTGTCCCTGCGAGATGTGATGTCAGCGCCTCGCGGACCATAGAGGCGAGTCGACTCACGAGCTTGGCGAGCACCATTGCACGCTGCACCTCGGCTTCGATGCCATTTGGCGCGTCCAGCTGGATGTGCTCTTCGAGAGCCTGGATGGCGATGGCGTGCTCTCCTTGCGCCCAGAGCACGCTGGCGAACTCCTCGGTCACCAGCGCACGAGCCCGCCTCTCCAGGTCGGCAGTGCCCGCGAAGACCTCGCTCAGTGGCTCGGCGAGCGTCACAGCGCCCATCGCTGTCTGTCCTCTGTCTTGCTCGCGCGCAGCCTCACTCAGTCGAAGCAGCGTCAACTGCTCGAGAGAGGCAAGCTGGGTCGAGAGAGCATCGCCCAAGCCAGAGCCGATGTCGTCTGCCGAGCACTGCCGTCGCTGCGAGCTGAGCAATAGGTGTCGCACCGACAAGATCCGCTCGATGTCCTGGAACCTGCAAAGCAGTCAGCCTCGAGCACCGTGCCACAGCAGCGGAGGCACTCACTCGAATGTCGACGGCAATGCAGTCCACGCGGTGCGAGCCGCCCTCAGGCTTTGCTCGGAGCTGCCGGGGACGACGAACTTTGAATGCCAGAGGTCGACCTCGCGCAAGCTCAGCAGCTCTCGCGCTACGCGCCGTGCCTCCGCGTTGGCCTCCGTACCGACGTCGCTGAGGCCGCGCAGCTCTAGAGATAGCGCTCCAGACACCGCGCTGGCAATCGAGCGCGAGTCGCGTTCCCTGTTCAGCGCACGCAGCGCGGAGAAGAGGCCTTGGCTTGTGCCGGGCTGCGCGTTGCCGCTCGCAGGCAGGTCCCACGAGCCCGAGCGCCAAGCCACGTCGTATGCGATGTCGGTCCCTGCGCTGGGCGTAGCGTCGAGCAGCGAGCTTTGACCGAGCAGGCCAGCTAGGCGGTTGAAGCCGAGCTCGTGCAGCGCGCGTCCGACGCCGAGCGTCGCTGGCGCCTTCTTCTCGCGCAGGTCGAGCGTGCGAGGCGCTCCCGCGAGCTCCGACTCGTAATCGGCGGCATGCATGCTGAAGGCGCGCTCCCATCGTTGCTCGTGGTGCAAGCGATGGACGAGAGAAGCACGCACGTCGCTGTTCTTGACCGAGTAGAAGCCGTCCGGGTCCTCGATGTTCGAGTAGATGCTATAGAGCAGATGCGACGTGTCCTGCTCGGCAGAGCCAGCAGCATCAGAACGATGCTCGCGTGCGAGCTCGATGAACAGCAGCGACGAAGCAAACAGCTTGCAGTCGCGAGCCCGACGCGCCAGCAGCAGCAGGTCGACGCGCAGCCACTGGTCGCCGCTCAGCGGGAGATCGCGGTCTCGGACGAAGCGACGCATGTGAAGGATGACGCCAATGACGGCCGCCCAAACCTTCTTGTCAACGGCGTCGCTGCGCAGTAGAGACTCGAAGTAGAGCTTGAAGGCGAGCTCCACAGCATCACCCTCTGGCTCGACGGCTCCTCGGCTCGTCGGACCAGTGCCGTCGACGTCGAGCTCGCTGCTGTGTAGCAGCGCGTGCAGGAGGACCGGCAGCGTCTCACCAGCGAGGCGCGCATCGGCCGCCACGAGCGTCGAAAGCTGTCCGAAGAACGACGGCGCGCCGTGCCCCGCTTGAAAGTCGCACACAAACGACGCCATCCAGCAGACCCAGGTATCGAAGCTCTCGGCTCGCCGCAGCGCATCGATAGAGCTGAGAGACTCGAGGGTGCGTTCTTTCGGCACCAGCGCCGGCGACGGAAAGGCTGTTAGCAACTCAAGCTCCTGTCGTGCCAGCTGCGTCGGCGGCGAGCAATGGCTTATGTCGCCCGGCATGAGCGCGAGTATTGCGCGGAGTCGCTGAGTGACCAGACCGGAGCGGCGCAGTCCGTCCGGGCCGCGCAAGGCGTCGACGACGCGGAGCGTGAGATGCGCTCGAAGCGACACCAGTGGATCGTCGACTGCGCCCACATTGTCGTGCGGCTCGAGAGTGTACGAGCTTGCCGGGTCAGCAGAGGCCGGCAGAGCGTCATAGGAGGGCGTGTGCAGCTGGCCTTCGCAGACGAAGATGATGTCCGCAAACGCTCGTGCGGCTGCGTCGCCCTGCTGAGTAGCGAGAGAGCCGATTCGCACGCCCGTTCCGCTCTTCTGCCGCTCAAGTATCTGCCACACTGCTCCCGCGGAGAAGCGGCGCCTCTGCGCTGCGTTTGCCTGCCGCAGGGCCGAAGCGACGCGCTGCAGCGTGCAGGTGTTGACCGGGCGCTGCGGCATGGCGGAGATGGCATCGATCAGCTCATCGAGCGTGACCAGACCGAGGTGCTCAGACATCTGCGCAGAGTGCGGGCGCGGCCAGACGACGAGGGCCGCGCGGAAGAAGCGCGGATCAGCGCCATCCAGCAAGCGGGGCACAAGACGTTCGTTGAGCCACGCATAGAGCAGCTCGCCAGCCCTGCGCGCGCTCGAGTCGTTGCTGCTGGCGTGCGTCTCGGTCTGACTGACGACGCTGACGAGCAGAGCTGCAAGCTCCAAGGGCGCGGATGGCAAGGCCGACAGCGCACGAAAGGCCCAGTCAAGGAGGCCTACGGCGGCGTCGACCAGGTCGAGATAGCCCAGAAGCGTCACAGCGCCGTCGATGAGGGCACGAAGCACGACGGCGCTCGTGCAGACCGCCTTCGAGCTGAGCGCGAGGAAGAGCTTGAGCGCTTGCAGATGGCGCAGCTGGTCGTTGACGAGCCGCTCGCGAAAGACGAGCTCGAGCATCTGCCCGACGATGTGGTACGAGCTGGACACGCTGAAGATGGCGACCGGCCCGCGCGCAAAGGTGCGAAGGGCGTGGTAGGTGCCCAGCGCGTTGCACATCGGGCGCGGAGGCTCGTGCAGCGAGGCGGTCGCGGCATGGCCTATGTCGAACATCAGGTGCTTGAGCTCTGTCGCACAGGCTGCGTCGGCGCTGCCAATGCTGCGGAGCACGGCATCGGCAATGCGGGCAGAGCTGCCGCCAGTGGCGCCGGTCCCGCGCTTCGTCTCGTTCGAAGCTTCCACTGGCTCGTAGAAGTTGCGCAGCAGAGTGACGACGACCTGATCGGCCAGCTTCGAGAGGAGATCGCTCATGACCTGCGGCGTGCCGGTGCAGTGCCAGCGCTCGAGAAGGTGCTGGTTCACGATAGTCCAGCGCTCGCCGTAGAGCGCCGCCGAGCTCAGCGCACCGCGGCTCGCGGCGTCTTCGCCGCTCAGTCCCAGGTCGACACCGACGATGAACGGCAGGCATTCGCGCATTGCCTGCGCAGAAGAGATCTTCAGGAAGCTGGCGAGCTTCTCGAAGTCCTGCAGCAGGTTGGGCTGCGCCAGGAGCATGCTGGCCACGGGGCGGAACGTGTGATCGAGGCACTGCCGGCGCGACGTGTAGCCCAGAATGTGATAGGGCGCTTTGAGCACGTCGTAATCGCTCTGCGCCATCGACCAGGACACGGAGCCGGCAAAGTGGTGCCAGAGGTCGCGCGTCTCGTCAAAGCCTAGCCGCGCAGCTACGCAGCGGAGGATGGCCAACGTCGCGGCGTGATACTCCGACGTGACAAAGGCCAGCTCGACGAGGTGGTACAGCGCGAGATGCCGGACCGGAGCGCTAGCCACGAGTACGTTGCCGAGAGTCAGGAGCCGCGCCATCATTAGGCTCGCATCGTCGGTGGCGGTCGGCAGAAGCTCGCGCAGCTGATCATACAGCGAGCTCGCAGTCACGGCGAGCTGGGCTGAGCCGACCAGCTCGAAGAGGCGCCCGCACGTGCTTGCGGCGGCGAAGCGCACACGCATGTCGTCGTCCTTGACGAGCTCCAGCAGCATGCCGAGCAGGCTCTCGGGCTTCAACACCGCCCGCTTCGACTGCCACGGCGCAGTGCGCGCGCCACCTGTGCCCGTGCCGCCGGTGGAGCGAACGAGCAAGCGTTCGATGAAGGATGCCAGGCGGAGACGCACGCGCCACTGGAGCGAAGGCATCAGACCACGCTGCGCTGACTAGTCATGAGCTCTGAGCACTCACCTGCGACTGCATCGCAGCTCGCTGCTTGGACAGCTGCTTGACGAGGAAAGTGCAGAACCGGTCCGCCTTCTGCGCCAGCTCCACGCTGTGCGCCGCCTCGTCGGTCCATGCGTGCATCGTGCCGTCGAGCAGATCGATGGCGATCAGCTGCGAGTGCTCGCTGTGCTGGTATTGGTAGTCCGGCAGGACGTCGTCGCCGAGGCGCTCTAAAATGTCGCTGATGTTGCGCTGGCTCAGATGCAGCCGCCCTTGAGCGTAAAGGCGAGCCAGCACGCTCAGTGTCGCTTCCAGGCGCTCGATCGGGCCGTCGATGATCAAGGCTGCAAGCGCCTGGTCGGTCGTGCCGGGGACGAGCGGAGCTGCCGAGTGTCCGAGCCACGCATCCGACGATGGCTGACTGATCCTCGCCTTTGCTTTCTCGCCGCGCGAGCGACCCTGCAGGCGAGGTATGTCTGCGAGGCCACCGAGGCAGATGCTCACGCATGCGGACAGGGCCTGGCTGTCCGTGTCGGCTCCTTCGAAGCCGGTGCTCTCCTTTCGCGCGCGGGGCGCCCACGTATCGGTCTCTTCCTGCGAAGCGCCGGACCGCCCTTTGAACTCGACATGGCTGTCGGAGCTCGTCGCGACCTCGTGCACGCTGCGCAGACGGTCGAGCGTCGCCTCTTGCAGCTCAGCCCGTCGCCAGACGAGCGATAGGAACGCATCTGGATGCGGAACATCCGACGCGGCCTGACTATGAGCGTTCGCCGTTGATTGCTGTGCACGCAGCACCTCGTGGCGCACGCCGGACTGGCGGCCCGCCTGGACGAGCCCGTGCTGGCCAGCTGCAACACCATGCGTTTGAGCAGTGCACGTGAGCGGCAGTAGCGGCTCGATGCCGCGCAAGATCTCGGCGCGGTCGAGGCTTGACCAGCGTTCTTGAGAGCAGACGCCAAGCACAGCGAGGAAAAGCCGGCTGGCGCTGAAGCCCAGCTGCGGCGGGGCTGAGATATAGTTGAGCGCCAGCGTTGCGTTGAAGAGCAGCACGAGCACCGTGAAGTCGAGTGAGCGGCGCGTCTGCTCCAGCTTGCCGCTCGTGATGAGATTGACCATGCCCGAGCCTTCCTCTGGCTGCGTCCATTCCAGCTCGAAATCGCCCAGCGCTCGCTCGAGAAATTTGAGGCAGCGCAGCTCCAGAGACTCGAGACCGCGCAGTGGCGTGCTCTCGTCGAGCTCGAGCGCGGCGGACGTCATGGACTGGGAATGGCTCGCTACATTCGGGCCCGCACCGCCCTCGCCAGCACCGGTGAGGTCGCAGCGCAGCAGGTAGTCGCGGATGGTGCTGCCTTCGCGCTCTCGTGTGAGGGCTGTCACCGTGGCGCACGTCGGCAGCATTGACCTGCCGCGGTTGAAAGCAGGCTCGCGGTGCAGGCGGCAGACTCGAGACAAGAGTAGTGCGACATCGCACGGATCGTGTTCCTCGACTCGGGCACGCTTGAAGCCTTTGGTGCTGCCGTTGAGTGGCGACCAGACGGCCTGCAGCCAGCCGAGCACCTTCTCCTCCAGCTTCCTGGCTGCGAGCGTTGGGTCGGAGCAGGCGAGTGCGAGCGCGGCACAGAGAAAGCCGCAGACCGCGTCCGTCGGAAACGGCGGCCCCTGCACGTCGATGTCGCCGAGCAGGTTCTGCACCTCGGCCAACGCAACGGCGCGCGGCACAAGGTCAGCCCGCAGCACAGCGTGAGCTGCGTGGGCTGCGGCTCGTGAGGTCGAGGGCAGGAAGGAGCGACGGCAGGCCACCGGCCAGACCTGCGCCCACAGCGCGGCGCTCCTGTCGCTGCTTGTCGCTGCGCAAGCGGCTGCTGCCGCCGTAGCCAGCAGCGTCCAGTACTGCACGTCATCGTCGGCAATCTGCAGCAGCGTGCCAAGCGCGTCTAGAATCTGCGAGCGCACGCCGGCGGCCAGCGTTCGCCAGTGCCGGAGAATCAGGAAGAGGAGCACCTGAAGGCGCCACACGCGCGCAGCCTGGGCCGTCTCGAGCAGTGCGTCGCTCTTGAGCTCGATGCCCTCGAGCAGAGATGTGAGCGCATCGAGCGTCTCTGTCGTCGCACCCTGAGTCCGACGGCGCTTGGCAGCCCGCTGAGTCATAGCCGTTGATGACACAAGCGTGGAGCTGCGCGTTCTCGAGGCGCCATCTGTGGCAGACGGCGCAACAGTCTCGCTTGACGTCCCTGCTTCTGGTCCGGCTCGGCCCGATTGCGTGCCAGCAAGGACGGCGATGATGTCGGCAGCCAGCTCGAGGGTCGACCAGCTCAGCGCGTCCACGTTGACACAGGCGCGGCCGGAGCGGAGGATGCTGTACTCAAAGACGCCAAGCTCGGAGCGCGGCCGGCTGTCGAAGGCAAAGTCGAAGCTGGACGACGGCAGCGGCTTGAGGCCGAAGCGCTGCTCGGCTTCGCCCAGTGCTAGAGGCTGCAGAGCGCCGAGCAAGCCGTGCGCCACCTCGAGCGCGGCGGTCGGCGTGCCGCTGAGCGGGTCGAAGCCAGCACAGGCCACGAACGGCACGAGCATGCGCAGGCAGATGACGAGCTGCTCCTTGAGCGGTCGGAGCTTCGCGGGCCACAGCGCGAGAAGGCACGGCCAGACCTGTTGCGCGAACTGCGTTTGCACCAGTCGCTCGTTGTGCTCGAGTGCGGCGAGCACGTGGTTGATGCCGCTGAGAGCATGGCACTGCGCAAGCGACTCGCCGCTGAACGTCTCGAGCACGCGCGCGTACTTGGCGAGCACGAGCACGCCGAGCTTGGCCGAGCCGAGGAGCGGAGCAGTTGAGGCGGCCATCAGGTACTCGAGGCTGAGCAGCAGCTCGATCTCCTCTCGCGTCGCCTGGCGCTTCGGCTTCTGATCGCCGCTCGCCTTGCGCTTGCCGCGGGTAGTGCTGCTGCCTACACCTCGCGCGTCCTCGTCATCCTCAGCGTCCCCGGCGTCGCCGGCATGGAAGCTCGCCTTGAGGTGGTCGCGTAGAACGATGTTGAAGCACAGGCGCGTGACATACTGCCAGCGCTGCTCGTCGAAGTGCTCGACGTGCGGCTCGTACTCCAAAATGTTACGCAGCGCCTGGAGGTAGGAGAGCGAGAGCGGCTCGAAGAGGGCGCCGCGGTACTCGATCATCTGCGCAATGTGCTGTAGGATCTGGTTGACGACGACGATGGGCAGGTGCTGGATGTTCGTCTCGACGAGCCACTGCAGTGCGCCGCTGCTCTCCTTGATGCGGCGCAGCGCGACCTGCGTGGCGTCCTGCCAGGAGCCCTTCTTGAAGCAGGCGTCGCGGTCCATCTGCACGCAGGAGAAGAGCGCCGTGAAGACGCGCGACCAGCGCTTGCCCTCCTCGTCGTCATCGCCGATCTTGGCGCCGACGCTGGGCGACTTGAAGACTTGGCGCAGGAGGTCGAGGCCGTCGGTGCGGTCCTTGAGCTTGTCGCTCGTGATGAGCGTCACGGCCCTTTGCAGGCTCGTGCTCATGGCGGCGGGGACTGCGGCCCGTGGCGCGCTGTCACGCTGTGTGAGCCGACAGTCTGCGAAGTTTGTGCCCGCTAGGACCCACCTCGGACGTCGAAGCAGCCAGTGGAGGCCAAGACGATACTCGTGATCAGCGCGAAATTTTGAGCCAAATGCCGTGCGTGGAGGACGTGAGGATCGAATTCATGGGACGTCGTGCGGTCTCGAGATGAAGAATCGTAAGGACGGCTTCACGCTGGCGCCACACGGCGTGAAAGTGCTCGCTCGAGGCACGAAAGGGGCTCGCGCCTTCACCAAGACAGATGGGCCGTGGCTCGTGGGAATTCGCAGCTCGTCCCGTCTACCGGCATGAGTTGGCCACCTGCGACAGGCAAGCGAGAGTCGTGAAGTCGTGGAGGCGGTGCGACGTGCGAGCACTCTGGCCGTGCTGCTTGGCCGACGTCTTGCCGCCTGGTCGTGAGTGGTGTGGAGGAGAGCGAAGATGCAACGCGCGGAATCGGCGTGCATGCGGGGCGCAGTCTGGCCGCTGAGCGCGCGAGTTGGAAGATGCTGCAGGATGGCCAGAGTCGCGCTCGCTCCACGCCTATCGACTCGACCTCGACCGGCCCAACTCCAAGGCGCACCTTGCCTCCGTTCCCCATCAGCATTCTTGCTGCTCCGTCTCTTCGCCACCGCCCAGCATGTCGGACGTGGACGACGAGCTCCTCGCGCTGGCGGGCGGCGGCTCTTCGCCCGCCTCGCGCTCCTCGGCCTCGCTCTCCGCCTCGCCTTCGCCTCCACCCCGCGCAAAGGCCAAGAAGCGCGCCGCGCCCAAGAGCAAGGCGCGCAAGCGGCGAAAGGCCGACAGCGACGAGGAGGATGAGGATGAGGACGCAGAGGGCGAGGAGGAGGCGCTGTACCCGCTCGAGGGCATCTACCGCGACGAGGCGGATCGCGAGCGGTGCGTGTCGTGTGCAGCGCGACGAAGGACTGCGTAGGCTGACTGGCGCGACGCAGTCTCCTGGACATGCCGGAGATTGCCCGCGAGACGGAGCTGGCCGCGCGGCGAGAGGAGCTCAGCAAGCGCCAGCAGGCGTCGGCGCTCGCGGCGCTGTATCGCAGCCAGCAGGCAGCGTCGGGCCGCGGAGCACCGAGCGGCGGTGCGAAGAAGGCCAAGAAGCCGGCGCCGAAGAAGAAGCCAGCGAAGAAGGCGCGGCGGAAGACCAGCGACGACGAGTCGAGCGAGGAGGAGTCGGACGAGGACGAGGAAGAGGAGGAGGAGCCAGAGTCGGAGTACGAGGAGGCAGACCGCCGCAAGACTGGCCGCCTGCGCAAGAGCATCGGCGCCTCGGCAGACAAGAGCGCCAAGCTGCAGGAGCTGTCGCGCAAGCGCAAGGCCAGGGCGAGCGGCGGAAATGCGCGCGATGAGGCGCCTGGGCGGAGACGCGGCGACCGTAGTTCATCGGAGGACAGCGAGGACGAGTCCGAAGAGGAGGAGGAGCCGCGCAGCTCCAAGGTCGTGGGCGAAGGGCGCGAGGCCAAGCGCATCGCCGCCAAGGAGCCGTGGACGATGCCGAGCCGAGAGACACTCAACCGGTGTCGCGTCACGCGCGACGAAGTGGCGAAGGTGCTGTTCAAGAAGGGCTTTGAGGCGGCCATGATTGGTGAGTCTGAGCCAGGACTCAGCTCAGCCCCGCTCGGGCTGACATCCACTTTGCAGGCGCCGTGGTCCGCGTGAGCCGGCTCGATGACCGCAAGCGGCAAATATACCGGACGTACGAGGTCTCGCGTGCGTCGTGACCGGCCTCTGCGCATGCTCTGCCACCCACTCACGTCCCTGTCGCCAGGCTGCAAGAAGGGAGACAACTACTACGACCTCGGCGACGGCCGCGCCTTCACGAGCGTCGAGATCTGGTGCACCTTTGGCGCCGAGACGCACGGACCCTTCCAGCTCTCGCAGATCAGCAACTCTGCGATTACCGAGGTGCGTGCTGCTGCTGGTCCTGCCTCGCTCTGTGCTGACACGGCGCAGGACGAGCACTCGCGCTATGCGCGTGTCCAGGAAGCGCTCTGGCAGACGAAGAAGCGACATGGCCCGTCTGACGAGGCGGTGCAGGATGCCTACGACACGTGGCTCGCATTCGTGGACCGGCTGGTGCTGGACCAGGCCGAGGCGCTCAAGATGGTGCGCGACCGGCAGGAGAACCGCGCTGCCTTCGAGAAGCAGCAGGGCGAGCGGAAAGCGGCGCTGCCGCCGCCGGGCGCCCCGCCTGGCCCGCCTCCGGGTGCGCCGCCAGGCTCCTCGGCGCGGCAGGGCAATGCCTCGCCGGTCAAGGGCGCGTACGACGGCCTGATGGTGGCAGACCTGAATGAGCGGAACAGGAAGGCGGAGAAGGAGCGCATGGCCGAGGTCGAGGTGCGTCTGCGCTGCGCACTGCCCGATGCGCTCTCACTCACGGCCTCGCCATCTGCAGCGCCGCGCTGCGCTTGCGAAGCGTGCCGCACTCGGCATCGCAGCCAACGCCGCCTCTCGGCCTGGCAGCGGCGCCGCGACGCCCGCCAACGGCGCATCGGCGTCGGGCGCCTCGGCATCGAAGAGCGAGCACGTGCGGCCAGTCGAGAACGCCATCAGCCAGTCGGCGCAGGACATCGACGTCGACCTGGGCGACTTCTGAGCGGCGCAGCGGGACGTGAGACGGACATGGGCGATAATCGTGATGGGTTTGCATGCATGCAAGGGGTGCCGTGGGGTGCGATACAGATGAGGAGCATAATCAGCGGGCTCGCGAACGGGAAGTGGGGCATCGGACGGGGGAGGACGAGAGATCATGGAGCGACAGTCGGCCGCTGCGCGAGCTGCTGCTGCTGCTGCCGCTTCTCCTTGTTCTGCCGCATAGCCTGCAGACGGCGCATAACGTCCGACTGCGCGCCCTGCGGCTGATGTGCAGCAGCTGGGAGCGGCTTGGCCAGGGCGGCGCTGGCTGCATGCCGCTCTGCCTCGAGCACAGGCGCCGGCGACGGCGTGGCGCGCACGTTGGTGCGGTCGCTGAGGCCGCCCGAAGACGGCTCGCGCGAGCGGCGCACAGCTGGAGCGCCGTTCGTGGCCGACGGCAGCGCGAGCGAGGCCTTTTGCGGGCTGAGCTGGTGCGAGATGAGCAGCGACGGGTTGCTGCCGGACTTGGGCAGGCCGTCGGCCTCGTCGCTGCGCTGGAAAACGGCGCCGGCGGACGCAGCGGCGTGCGCGGCGACCGAGGAGAGCGCGTGCTGTGACTTGGCGCGCCGCACCGGCGTGAAGCTCTTGGCAGGCGAGGGCACGTAGAGAGCGCGCACACCCGGAGCTGGCATGGCCGCATCCTCGGCGTCGAGGAGGGGGCGCTTGCGCGAGACAGCAGAGGCACTGACGGTGCGCGGCTGCTCCACTGCCGGAGAAGCAGCGTGGCTCGTGCTGGCGTGGGACGCCGGCTGAGCGACCGAGAGGGAGCGCGGCGTGGCGCTGGCAGACGCCGTGACGCGAGATGTCGACGTCGCAGGAGCGGCGCTCGAAGATGCCTCAGCGGACGCAGGCGACGCGGCGGCGCTCGCTTGAGCGGCCTCGAGCTTGGCCTGCAGGCTCTTGTTGCGCAGGCTGAGCTTCTTGAGCTCCTTCATGTGCGTCAAGAGCTGAGGGAGACGAGGATGAGCGGCGTGACTCGCAGAACAGGATCTCCGCCAGACTCACCTTAGTGTCGTGCTCCTCGGCCTCCTCGGCCTTGGCAGCCAGCTCCGCCTCGAGAGCCTCGATGCGCGTCTCGAGCAGCGCCACGTCCTCGGAGCGACCAGCGCCGCTGCTTGGTGGTGCAGCACGGAGCTGCTCCAGCTCGGCGGTCAGCTGCTGCTGCTCGGCACGCAGACTGTCCGCCTCGGCCTGGGCAGCACTGAGCTGGCCCTGTGCGGTTCGAAGCTGCGCCTGCGCGTGCTGTGCCTCGCGACGTCTGTGGCGGTGATTGATTAGCGCGTGCGCAGCAACGACTCGTCGGGTCATGACTCACGATGTTTGGATCTCGCTCTCGGCGCGAGCAGCTTGGTCCTGCGCTTGCGCCAGTGCCTCCGAGTGGGCTGCGGCATCGCGCGCCAGGCGCGATCGCTCCTCGACGAGCTGCTGCTCGGCCGCCTCCTTGGCGAGGGCGAGGCTGTCGGACGCCTGCTTCGCCTCCGCCAGACGGCTCTCGAGGTCCGAGACTGCAGCTTGCTCGTCCTGGGCGCGCTCCACTTCCTCCTGCAGCGTGCCCAGCTCCTCCTTGAGGTCCCAATACTCGTCGTTGCGCTGCTTGATCTGCACGTCGCGCTCGCGCAGCGCGAGCTCGAGCGCCGCCACCTGCTCTTCGCGCTCGGCGAGGAGGGCGCCACTCTGAGCCAGGTCGGCGAGGCGGGCCTCGGCATCCTGCAGGCTGGCGGACAAGGTCGCACGCTCAGCGCGCCAGGCGTCCTCGGCCGCGGATGCGGACGTTGAGACGTTGTTGGAGGCAGCGATCGCAGCGTCGCGCTCGGCAACCGTTTCGCTAAGGCGCAGGCTGAGCTGCTGAACCTCCTCGCGCAGAGACTGCACCTGCTCCGCCTCTGCTTGCAGCGCAGACAGCTGCTCAGCGCTGTCAGCAGCGGCCTGAGTAGCTGCGGCGAGGCGCTCCTCGAGAACTGCAACAGCGCCGGCGTGGAGGTCCTGCGCTGCCTGGGCTGCTGTTGCAAGCTCGGCACGCAGCGAGTCGAGCGCGGCATTGTGTGCCTCCTCGTCGCCGCCGGCAGCAGCAAGATTGCTCTCGGCCTTGAGCACCCGCTGCTCCAAGCTCGAGAACTGCAGTTCTGAGGCCGCGGCGTTCTCGCGGAGGCTTGCGAGCTGCTCCGTGAGGGCGACAACCTCTGCTGCTTGCGTCTTCGCATCGAGCTGCGCCGCCTCAAGCTGCTCCTGCAGAAGCGCAGCGGCTGCACGACTGGCCGCATGCTCCTCGGCGAGTGCGTCGAGGCGCTCTTGCAGCTCGATGACCTTGAGAGAAGCAGCCGACTCCGCCTCGATGGCGCCGTCCAGCCGAGTGAGTGCGTCGGCGAGGTCCTCGTTGAGCTTGGCAGAGGCAGCGCTGAGCTGCTCCTTCTCAGCTGCGACGTCGTTGAGCTGCTCCTGCAGCGAGATCTGCTCCTCGCGCGCGGCGGCGAGCTCCGCCGTGAGCGCAGCGTGTGCGCGCGTCTTTGCTGCCAGGTCCGCGAAGAGCGCCTCGTCGGCGGCGGTGTCGCTCGGCGTGCGAGCGCGCACGTCGTTGGCCTGTGCTTCGGCTTGGCTAAGCTGCTCTTCCAGGCGGGCGACCTCCGTTGCCTGAGCCTCGAGCTGGCTTTGAAGCGACGCCTCGGAAGCCGTGGCACTCTTGAGGGATGCCACAGCGTCGGCAGCTTGAGTTTGAGCAGCGACTCTTGCGGACTCTGCTTCGTGTACAGCTGCGGTCAGCTCGAGGGCCTGACGGTCGAGCGCCGCCTTCTCGTCGTTGAGCTCTTCCGCCGCGTCCTGAGCGGTGAGCACGTTGGTACGCAGCGTCTGCGCCTCGGCGGTGGCGGCCTGCAGCTGCGTGCGCAGACCTGCGATCTCTTGCTGGTGCTGGCCGATTTGCTCCTCGCGACGCTTGATGCGCGCACGAGAGTCGGCGAGCTGCGTCTCGACGTCGCTCTTCTGCCGGATGACCTTCGCCAGCGCCTCGCTGCCTTCGCCGCCCTGCGAGGAGGACGCAGCTGCGAGCGAGAGATGCATCTCGAGCTCGGAGACGCGGCGACGGTACGTGACGAGATGCGCGGCGCCATCGGCAGCGCACTGCAGGTAGTCGCGGATCTCGGCCTGGTGCGCTGCGACGCGGGCCTCCAGCTTGGCAACGTACTCGACGGTCGCAGCCGCGCTCGCTTGTGAGAGGGCAGCGGCCTCGCGGCGAGCCTGGAGCGACTCGAGCTGCGCCCGCTTGGCGGCGAGCTCCGTCGCGAGGTCTGGGAGTGGCTCGCTCTGGGGCGTCACGCTGCGCTGGCGCGGCATCTCGGTACCCGCGCTCTCGACGGAGACGTTGCCCGAGTCTTGCGTCGGGACGCTCGCTGTCTCGGCGAGTGCAGCATTGGCCTGTATCTCCGTTCGTGCGCGGCGCAGCTGCATCTCAGTCTCGACGCGCTGGAAGTCCATGCGCCGGCTGGCGTCCTCGATGTGCTGCTTGACCTGGTCGATCTCGTCGAAGAGGTCCGTCTCGAAGCTGCGCGAGCTGGCTCGACCTCCGGGCGTGGCGAAGAACGTTGACTCATCGGCGCAGGCGGCGAAGGACATCGACATGTCGCCTCGCAGCATGCTCTCGTCGCCGAGCGCACCCGCACCAGCTGCGAATGCGGAGCGCACGGTGCTGGCCAGCCGCTGCACTCGGCGCTTGGCAGAGGTGAGCTCGGCCTCGCGCTTGCGCAGCGCCGGCACCACCTCGCCGAGCTGCTCGTTGCGTGCAGCGAGCTCCAGGCGGAGCTGCTCGAGCTTCTGCTGCGTCTCGCTGCCCGAGGCGACGTTGCTGCGGAGTACATCGAGCTGCGTAGAAGGTCAGCGCAGTGACCAGACAGAAGGGGCGTTCTACTCTACTCACCTCCAGCTCCGCCTCCGTGGCAGCTTGCTGCAGGCGCGCAACCTGGTCCGAGCTGGTCTGCAGCTGCACTTCCAGCTCCGAGGCCATGGAGCTCCACTGCTCGACATCTGCCTCGCGCTCTGCCACCAAAGTCTGCGCAGCCTGCAGCTCTCCCTGAGTCGCTTCAAGCTGCATCGAAGCCCGCTCCAGTGCTTCGGAGGCTGTGGTGTCGGCGCTCTGCGAAGCAATCGTTGCTTCAAGCTCTGCGAGACGCTCCTTTGCGGCTTGTGCGTCTGCGACGGCAGTATCGCGGGCTTCCACGGCTTGCTGCGCCTCGTGCTCGGCGCCAAACTTGGCCAGGTCAAGCGCCTCGACGGCGCTTGTGAGCTGTCGGATCTCAGCTTGCGCCTCGTCGAGCTTCGTCTGCAGGCCCGCATCTTGCTCAGCCACGCGCTGTTCGGCCGCCGATGCGCGCTGCTCGGCCTCGAGCAGCGCAGTGGCTCGCGTCTCGAGCTCCGCCTCGAGCGCAGCAAGGCGCTGCTGACTCTCCCCGGCGCCGGCAATCGAGGTCTCCAGCTCGGCGCGCACACTTGCGAGCTCCTCGGCAAGAGCAGCCTGTGCTGCAGCGAGAGCAGCAGAGGCGGCGTCGCGAGCGGCCTCGGCGTCCGAGAGCTTCGTCTGCAGCTCGGCGAGCTGTGCTGTCGCCTCTTCGCTGCGCGACAGACCGCATGCTGCTTCTTGACGCAGTCTCTCGAGCTCGCCTGTTTTGGAGTCAGCAGCTGGACATCGACACGGCTGCTGCGGCACTCACTCTTCGTTTGCTCCACCTCGAGGACTGCATTCTCGCGCTCCTGCACGAGGGATGTCCGCTCCGCCTGCCATGCCTCGACATCGGCGCTCGAGGCCGCAGCAGCAGCCGCAGCCTGGAAGGCCTCGTCTCGCTCGGCATTTGCTAGGTCCAGCGAAGTCTGAGCAGCCGCGACCTCTGCCTCCAGCTCGACCACGCGGGTCTGCAGCTTCTGCAGGTCGCGCTCAGACGGGCCAGCAGTGGCTCCGCCCGCCGTTAGACGCTCCACCTCGTCCTCGAGCTCCGTGACCTCGCTGCGCAGTGTGTCGCGCGCCTGCACTGCGGCATTGAGCTCGCGGCGCAGCTCGCGCAGGGCGCGCGTCTCGCTCTGCGGGGCGGCTGGAGCGGCCGCCTCGGCTTGCGCCAGTTGAGGAGAGGCGGAGGCGGAGGCGGAGGCGGCAGAAGCGCGCTCCGCCTCGGCGGCCGCAGCTGCTGCCTCGGCAGCCTCTGCACGCTGGTTCGCAGCTTCCAGTTCTGTCTCGAGGCGCTCCACACGTGCGTCTTGCTCTTCGATGCGCAGGCGCAGCGACTCGACCTCCTTCTGCAGCTTCGGGTCCGGCGCTCCTGTTGGAGTCGGCCGCTTGACGCCTCCGTCGAGCTCGCGCCGCATCGCATCAGCCTCTTGCCTGGCCCACTGCAGCTCTTGCCGCAGGTCCGCCGCGACCTCCTTTGCCTCGCTGGCAGCTGTGGATGCTGAGCGCTGCGCTGCAATGAGCTCGTTTGAGATCTTGAGCGCCTCGCGCTCGGCCTTGGCGGCGCGCTCGGACGCCTTGGACAGGTCGCCGGAGAGCGAGTCGACCTCGAGGCGCAGCGCTGCAACTTCGCCGGAGGACGAAGGAGCGGCAGCGCTGGGGCCCGAGACGGACGAGCGACGAGCTCGTCGCCGCGGCGCAGCGCCCTCGCTGCCGAAGAAGCCGCCGTGCTCCTGCCGCGGCGAGGGCGGCAGCGGCACCGTCGAGGCGGATGCCGTGGCGATGAGCCGGCTGTTCTCGGCCTTGAGCGCCAGCACCTCGTTCTCGAGGGCCAGCGCTCGCGCAGCGGGGTCAAGACGCGCGTGTCGTCGCGAGCCGGACGCCTGCAGCACGCCCATGAGCATGTCTCTCGGGCCGCTCCACACTGGCACTCACCACTGGCTCGTTCTGCCGCCTCAGCTCCTCGTCCTTGAGGCTGATGGCCGCCTCGAGGGTGCGCACCTTGGCCTCAAGCGCCTTGCGCTCCTCCTCGCTCTCCTTGGCCACGTGGCCGAAGGTGCGCTCGCGCTCCACCTCCTCGCGGCGGCGGCCCTTTTGCGAGTCAGCCTCGACGCGCTTGGCGGCGGTGAGGGCTGCCTCGAGGTTGGCCACCTGCAGCTTGCCGCGCTCAATTTCGGACTTTGCACGTGCGCCAGCCTCCTCGGCGGCAATGGCGCGCTGAGTCTCGGTCGCCAGCTGCGAGGAGAGCGACGAGACGGTGGTGCGCAGCGTCGCGAGCTCGGCGAGCTGGGCGGCGTTTTGCGACTGCAGGTTCGAGATGTTCATGTCTGGCGAGGCGTGAGCAGTGGCACGACGGGCAAGGCGCGGCATGCTCACCCTGCTGCCGCAGCGTCTTCTTCATGCGCGCCACCTCGCCATCGTCGGCGCCGCCGAAGATGCTCATCGCGGGTGCGGTGGGGGAGAGGGGGCCCACGTCGCAGCGGAGGAGGTCTGCGTCAAACGGCAGCTGCGGCCCACGTCACGGCTCGCGGGCAGAGGGAGAGAGCAGCCAGGCCGTGGATGGGGATGAGGAAGGTGTCGTGGATGGGGATGAGGAAGGTGTCGTGGATGGAGGCAAGAGGACCAAGCGCGCGGCGGGATAGGATGCGCGGCTGCATCTCGAGCGCGTTTGTTCGGCGCGTCGTGCGGAGAGCAACACCAGAGGCGGCCGAGGCGCGTGGCGCACGTGACGCAGGAAGCTCGAGTCAAGTCCGCGGCTCAGCCGCCGCGAGCCCTCATCCTTGCTCCGACCACCTCGCCCTTCGCTCTCGCTGCGTCTCACCTTCCACACCCCTCCACCATGTCCGACGCACCCGCCGCCGCATCGCGGCCACCACGCGACGTCGTGGCACGCGAGCGCGAGGCGGCCAAGGAGGCCAAGCGCCTCGCAAAGGAGGCCAAGCAGGCGCGCAGGGGGACCGAGGGCGCAGCTGCACCCCCAGCTGCCGCTGGGCCGAGCAAGGCAGGCAAGGCGCCGGCTGCACAGGCAGGGCAGCAGGCTGCACCGGCCAAGGGTGCGCCTGCTGCGGTGAAGAAGGACGGCCCGTCCAAGCCTCCAGCACCCACGCCCGTCGAGGCAGCGCCGACGACTGTGCCGCGCCTGCCATCGCCCCGCGTCGTGTCGCTGTTCAGCAACGTCGCAGTGCCACGCACAGGGCCGCTCGACTCGCTCGCCTCCTCTCTGCGCACCTCGATCCACCCTTCAGTCCTCACGCTGGCACAACACCTCGCGAACTTCAGCATCGTCGGTGCCGATGCGCGCGCCATTGCGGTGCTCGGCGCACTGCGCGACTTTGTCGCCGACTACCGCACGCCCGAGGGCGCCGTGCTGAGCCGCGATCTCGTGCAGCGCCTCGCGCCGCAGATCGCCGCACTGGCACAGGCGCGGCCACTCGGCGCCAGCGTCGAGCATGCGATTCGCTTCCTCAAGTACGAGGTCAGCGTGACGCCCGTCGAGTCGAGCGAGAGCGAGGTGAGCACAGGAGATGGCCAGCTCTGCATGCGGCAGCTGATTGCCATCTGCAGGCACGCGCACACATCCTCTCCACCATCGACCACTTCATCCGCGACCGCATCACGCACGCCGCGCGCACCATTGCCTCGAGCCTCGCCGCAGACAGGATCCGCGCAGAGGGCGAGGTGGTGCTCACGTTTGGGCGCAGCTCCGTCGTCGAGGCGGCGCTGCTCGAGGCGAAGCGGAAGGGCAGCCGCTTCGAGGTGATTGTCGTCGACGCACAGCCGCTCTGCGAAGGTATGTATCGACCGTGCCGCCTGTCTGTGCTGGGCTGACATTCCGCAGGCCGGAGACTGCTCGCCACGCTCCTTGCGCACGACGTTCCCTGCACCTACGCGCTGCTCACCTCGCTGCCGACGCTCATGCCGCGCGCCTCGCTCGTGCTGCTCGGCACCGCCGCCGTGCTAGCCAATGGCGCGCTCTACGCACGCGCCGGCACGGCTGCGGTCGCGATGCTGGCGGCGGAGCGGCAGGTGCCCGTCGTCGTGGCGTGCCAGACGTACAAGTTCAGCGAGCGCATCATGCTCGACGCACTGAGCGGCAACGAGGCTGGTGAGTGCAGTAGCAGCTCGCAGCGGCGGCTTCGCTGACGCTCCACAGGCGACCCCACCGCGATGCTCGCGCACGGCGACGCCCCCACCGCCGCACCCACCTCCGACGCTGACTCGCACGCGCGCCTAACGCACGCCGAGGTGCTGCGCACGCCGACTCTCGGCGTCGCCAGCCTGCTCTACGACGTCACGCCGCCGCGCTTCGTCGGGCACGTCTGCTCCGAGGCCGGCCTAAGCGGGCCCGAGAGCGTCGCCGAGCTGCTGCGCGACTTTAAGAGCGCTCCCTACATGCACAAATAAGACGATGCATGCTGCGGCGCGCGTGGAGAGATGCAGAAGAGGCCTGATGATGGCGGAGCGGCGGCTGGCCATGCGCTGAGGGCTGGCAGGGAAGGGCTAGCTGGAGGATGTCGCTCGCATCGGCCCCGCTGCTAAGCTCGCGCTTCCAGTTGCGAGAGTCTGGCCGAGAGCCCCGACCTTCACCCTGCTCTGTCGCCTGCTCAAGTTCTCGCAGCAGGAGTATGCTGCAGCATCCCCCGCATCCGTGCGCAGAACAACTGCCCTCAGCACGCTTTGCCATCACACCCGTCAGAGGCAGGCACACGGCGGCTGACACTGAGCACTGCATCAGCTGCACGTCACACAGCGGCCGACGAGCAGCCAGTCCGCGACAGACGAGAGGGGTGGCACAGCGACGTTTATTGCAGCGTGCGAGGCAAGGGACATGGACGTGCTGACGAGCTGGAGGGTATGAGAAGAGACTTGTCGAGCCGAACTGCGCAGTCGGGTTGGGTCGTCACGGGTCGTGATGGTCGAGATCGGGGTGCGCGGAGGCACGATGAGCGAGTGGAGCGGGAGATGGGAAGAGGGGGTGACACGGCAGCTTGGGCGAGGCTTGGGCGAGTTTGGGCGAGGCTTGGGCGAGCTTGGGCGACGCGAGGAGCGCGAGACGGCGCTGGCGACGGCGAGCGACTGGGCGTCTAGAGAACGCCACGACGACTGCTGCCCATTCTGCCTCCGCGACGGTTGCCCATCATCGGTCCACGCGAGCGGCTGCGGCTGCCGCCACCGCAGCGACAGCAGAGGATGTTGCCGATGCAAGAGACTGTCGATGCGAGCGTCAGCAATGCGCTCACCCCGGAGGAACACTGACGACTCACAGATGGCCATGATGGCGTTTGCGATGCCATTGACGATCGCCACGATGACTCCGGCGATGCTCTGGGGCGCAGCAAGACTATCAGCGCCGTTTCCAGGGAGGGAGGGGGTGTCGGACGCGCATGGGCGACGACGAGGAGCACCGACCCGTCGCGCGTGCACGTCTGCCGCGTCGCCGCCGTCTGAACCGCGGCGACACTTCGCTGCCTTCCCCCTCATCATCCATGTGGCCACGATGAATGCCCGCTGCAAAGACTCACCGACACGATGGTATTGAGGCAAGAGGCAACGGCGCCCATAGCTGCGGCTGGGAGTGTGCTGGTGGCTTGGTTGGTGGTGAAGAGCGGCAAGGGCTTGCGGTTGGCAGGAGACTCGAGCGGATGGATGTGGGTGAGAGGCAAGGGCGGATGGCTCCGGTGCTGCCTCTTATGAGAAGCGCAAAAGTCTCCGCACCCGAGTGCGGCCTGCCGCCTTGCGGGTGATTGCCGCTGCTGTTCCTGGCTGTGCTGCGCTCGGCGGCCGGAGAGGAGAGGGGCAGCGAGGGTGTGCCAAGCTTGCTCAGAGCCGCAGCGGATGACGTAGCGGCCCTTCTTTGCTGCGCGCGACCCTCTCGCCGCGCCCTCGCTCGACGCTGCGCCCTCGACGGGCCAAAGGCTATAATCAGCGCTGCAGCGTGCAGCATCAGCCGCGGCTTGCAGGATGCAGCAGCAGCGCAGCAGCAGCAGCACAGAGCGCAGGCGAAGCTTGCCGAGCACGAGACAAGTCAACGCCTCTCGCGCTGCGCCGCACCGGCACGCCCGGCACGCCGCGGTGACTAGCGTCCCCGCACACAGCCACACGTCGTCGCGGCGTTGGCTTGGCCAAAAATGGGCGCGCAGACAACACGCGCGTCATCGCCGGTGCTGCAGCTGCAGCTTCCCTCTCTCGTCGAGCAGGCGGCCAAGCAGCAGAAACGTGGCCGTGGCGCTGCCCCTGATTCTTATTCTGATTGCGCTGACCGCTACGGTGCCGCAGTCGCAGTCGACGAGAGAGGTGCGAGACGCTGCAGCGGTACACTCCGCTGCGCTGCCGACGTGCCGCGCCTCGAGGGCCCGCTCGTGCGTCCTCCTTCACCTCGTGCACATCCTCCCATGCAGGATGCTGCGGCATTCTGTGCAGCGCCCAGCACGGACGGCCTTCGACGGCTTCTGTCATCAGATGCAGCAACTTCAGCCGCCTCATCCTGTCGTGCAGTGCTCTTTGCAGCTGCTCGCGGTTGCGCTGCTCACAAGGCAAGGTCGCCTGAGGAGGAGGAGCGCAAGGCGGCGCAAGCGCATGACGTAGCTGCTGCGCCTGCCTGCCGCTGCTGCGCCCGCGAATATACCCGGTCCGCGCGATGGCTCAGGCAGACTCTACGCTGCTGCTGTGCCCCTCTTGACGACGGCCGAAGCTGGGAGAGGCCACGAAGAAGCCGCAAGCCTCGCGCAAGCTGACGACGCTGTCGCAGCTGTAGAGAGAAGCAGAGGAGACATAGAGGCCCCTGGCGGTAATCCTCGCTCGGTGGCTGCGAGAGCGGATGGTGTTCCCACGCGCGACCGTGGGAGCGCGGCAGGGCGGCGATTTTGATTTTGAGCGGCCGGCGCTCACGCGACGCTTCGCCTTTCTCCTCACGCACCGCAAGCAACCGCAAAGCACTTTGGGCCTGAGGCTCGGCCTCGAGCGGCAGGTCTCGCTCGAAAGCTTCCCTTGCCCAGCAACCGACGCACGTAGGCGAAGCTCTGAAGCGCCAGGCTGCCTTCAGAGGGAGAAAGCGGCTGGACAGCGACTGCAGACAGCCGTGGCATCTTCGCACCACACCGGCACGAGCCTTGCCCGAGTACCCAATCTCCTCCACGATGCTCACTCCGGCGCCCGCAAGCGCAACGCAGCGTGCGCTGCTGCGCGCTCTGCTGCGCGGCGCCGCGCCCGCCGTCAACTTCTCGCCGCACGCGACCAAGAACCTGCGGCGCCTCTTGCTGGCCGGCCAGCGTGAGCGGCTGGCGCAAGGCGAGGGCAAGCTGGGCGAGGGGGAGATGCAGACTGGTGAGTGGGTGTGGCAGCAGCGCAGAGAACGACGGGCCTGACATGCCGTGGACAGCGACGAGAACGCTGCTCCTGCTTCTTGCTGCGGCACGTCCGGCGGCCAGCATCAGTGGGCGGGCGACACGGGCGCCCGTACAGCCCTCTCTCGCGGGACTTGGCCATCCGACCCTTGCATCCGCACCTTCTCCGCTGCTCGCCTCGCCGAGCGGCATGCGCTCCGTCTCGCATCGCGCCATCGCCAATCTTGCCTCGCTCACGTACCACCATCTCTCGCCCTTCACCTTCATGCCTCGGCGCGTTGCACGCCTAATCGGCGGCTCCGACTCGCGTCGGTCGCGCCGCGATCGAGCTCGCGTCGATGAAGGGGCGCCGCTCGCCTGTCTGCACGTGCCCGCCAAGCCTCCTCGTGGACCCGTGCATCCGGCCGAGCTGAAGGTGGCGCGCTTCAGCGCGCCGCCGCTGCGCGGCATCGACGAGCTGCGCGCGGAGATGGTGGCGCGCGGCGCGGAGCTGGGCGCAGCCAAGGGCACGAAGGAGGAGGAGGCGAAGAGGAGGGCGTTTGTCGAGGCCAAGGGAGCGGTCAAGGCGTGGAACAAGGCGACGGAGAAGGAGCAGCGGAAGAGGGAGTACGTCAAGCGCCCGAGGAGACTGCTAGAGGCGCTGATGGAGCAGGTGCAGGCGAGGCGATTGGGGCTGGGAGGGGGCCGGTGGAGGACGTGGAAGGAGGGCGGCTGGCTGGGCGCGCAATGAGATCGACATCAGCGAGCGGGCCGACTGGAGGCGTGTGCGTTGTGCCACGGGCGATGTGAAGAAGCATCGCTCTTGCATCGCATGTCGCGTTTGCGTCTTGGCCCTGCTGCAAGGGAGAGACGAGTGCCGTCAAGAACGCAGGCTTGGGCCAAGGCGGCCGGGCGTCTCCAGGCGCGCGCTGCTGCGTGCACTGACTCTTCCTCGCGTCGCAGCGGCGCTCGTGCGTCTGAGCGCGAGTGCTGCATGCGCTGTCTGAGTCTCGCATTCCCTTCCTTCAGTGTCACTACAAATGTATTGTGAGCGCATCTGTGTGCTGCAGTGTGCCTGTGCTGTGCCGCGCTATGGGCAGAAGAGGCGCCGGTGCGGGGAGCGGCCACGAGCGGCGTGGCCGGCTGGGCGGGCGCGCGACGTGGGACGCTGACTAATCCGCGCCTGCTCCACATGGCTCGCTGACATGCGCACGCCGCTCCGTCTCCGCCTCCCTCCCACCCCTCTCTCCAACATGGGCTCCTCCTCCTCCAAGCCCGCGCGCGCCCTCGGCTCCAGCGTCAGCCAGGCCATGCCGAGCGCAGCCGGTGCCAGCAGCCGCGCACCCGCCGGCGCCGCGCCGCGCGCCCGGGCGCCGCCGCAGGCAGCGCAGCAGCAGACGCGCAGCCCAGGCAGGACGCAGCTCGGCGCCGACCAGTCGCGCACCGCTCCAAAGGCGCAGCGAGCGACGGCCGAGGCGAGCGAGAGCAAGACCTCTGGTGCGTCTTGTTCCCTCCTTTGGCGCACGCATGCGACTGACTGCCTCCTGCACGCACTCACAGCCATCATGGCCGATGCACGCGACCCGCAGCTGCTCGCCAACCTCGCCAAGCTGGGGCCCGTGCAGGTGCCGAGACACAAGCTGCGCTACCGGCCGGTGAGCTGCGCCGTGAGAGAGGAGGGGGGGGGGGGGGGGGAAGGGAAGGGGGGGGGGGGGGGGGGGGGGGGAAAGGAAAGGAGGGGGGCGGGGGCGGGGCGGCGGGAGTCCGTGCGCCCTGGCGCTGCCCTATTACATCGCTGCGTCCCCGACAGCTGCCGTGCGCTCCGGCGCTATCCCTGTTACGTCGACTGTGATCGCTGACAAGCTACTTTTTGCTCTGCCCTCCCCCTCCGCTCTCGTGTGCACCAGAACGACGAGATGCTGGGCATTCTGCGCGCTCGCTCCGCCGACACGGAGCGCTTCGAAGCCGACACCTCTCCCTCTTCCTCCACCTCTGCCTCCTCCGCCGCCGTCGAAGGCAGTGCCTCACGCACGCCCAACCGTCTGACGGCGCCGACGCTCATTGCGCTGCTCGACGCACGCAAGACGGCCACGACGCAGAAGGAGGTGCGGCAGCTGGCGCATGCGTTTGACGTGGACCTCGCGCTGCTCGAGAGCCTCGTCAAGTACGTCAACTCGCCGAGCATCCGGCCGAGGCCGGAGGAGGTTCGGGTGGAGGATGAAGATGATGTGAGTTGTTTGTGCGCGCGACGAGAGGGGGCCGATGTGCCAGGCGGCAGAGCGAGAGCTGATGCAGATATGTGATGGCGCAGAGACCGCCGCTGGTTGATGCGGTGTGGACAGAGCCGCGTCTGGGCGCTGTCTCGATCGGTGCGTCTCTCCCAAGAGTCTTCTGCGTGCTTCTGCGTCAGAAGCTGATCGCCCCCCCTCTCTTTCTCCTTCCCGTTGCGACTCGCAGAAGCTCCTGCTGCAAAGGCACAATGAGGGAGGCGGTGCGTGCAGGCAAGAGGGCGGGCGCGGCACTGCGGCAGAGAATTGGACACGCTTTGCCTCGAGACTTTCGTGCTGGCATGATGGGGGAGGTGACGCATGAATGATTAGGGTAGAGTGATGAGGGGTCGTTGATGAAAGAAGATCTTGGTGAGAGATGGGTGACACGGGGGAACGCAGAAGAGAGAGTGACGAGGCGGAGCGGGGTCGGCAGTGCTAGCGCCAGGAAGGGGGGCGTGCCACGGGCAGAGATAGCAGCAGCTTTCACTCATCCTCATCCGTGAGCAACCTCTCCTGCTCTTCCTCCTCCTCCTCGTCCTCCTCCTCCTCCTCCTCCTCCTCCTCCTCCTCTCGCGCCCGCCTCTTCTGCTTCTTCTTCTTGGCCGCCGCCGCCGCCGCCGCCGCGGCCTTGCGCTTCTTGGCCGCCCGAGCAGCCGCAGTCGGAGCGGCATCCGAGTCGTCCGAGGCGCCGTCCGAGGCCGGCGGAGCGGCATCGTCTTCGTCGATCTCGTCTGCTTCCTCGTCTGTCTCGAGCTGCGCGCGGGCTGGGACACGACCACTGTAGGGAGAAGCGGTGCAGGCGTCAGCTTACGACCAGTCTGATGCCTCACGCCGATTCTTTCCCCC